TTCTTTCCTATTTGTACTAAAGACATCTATGCCAATATTGTGGATGAAAATATGCATGATAGTCCCTTAATATTTGAGTTCTATTTGCTTTGTATAGTACAGAAAACGTTTCTTACTTTGAATTGAAAGTTTTGTGCTCTGGAGCTGCACTTCTGGCACTCTAGGCAGAATAACTGGGTTCCAAGGGAAATGAAGAGCTGGTTGAAGTTGAGAGGTGGCCAGAAGCAAGGTGAAAAGGCTGTGCACTCAAAGGGGTGGGCAGCATCCTGACTTCGAAGGGGCTGCAGTGGTGAAAGGTTGAAACTGAACAGCTTGGATCGCTATCTCTGCTCTGTCAGAGCAGATCGTGCTCTGACCTCCAGCCAAAATCATCTCAGCAGCTCTTGTCCTGCTGCCAGCCCTGACCCGGCAACCCAAAGAATCTATTGCACAATACCTTTTCCCAGCATCTCTGTTTGGGAAATGCAAATCTCTGAAACAATTATCCCTATACAGATACAGATTGTTTTGCAAAAAGTGGGAGGCTGTGGCTCCAGGATGGGTAGTTGCCACCTAAAGTTAAGGAAGCAACCGCAGGTAAAACACATTGTCCTGTCTGCACACTACAGCAGTTACTCATTCTCAGTACTTCATAGTTGCTATAGAAATTCTGAAAATTTGGTGCTGTTCCTAAAAGTATAGTTCCCTATAATAAGATCATCTGCCAAACTTTATAGCCCTGATGTAGTAAAAATATACTTAAAATATATGAAAGAGATGCATCTTTGCTTCATTTTCATCCTTATTCCTCTCTATATTTAGTAAGCAAAATAAACAGGCTAAGAGCATAACCACACTAATTTAATTACTTTCATTCAGTGTCCTGCTAAAGAAGTTTATTTTTAGCAGATAAATTCCAGTGAAAGCTGAATTAAAGAGAAAAAGCACTCTGCTAGAAAACTTTCAGGAAGAATTGTTCTTTCAGTTTATCGAGTCAGTTGAAGTGTAGTAGTTGAGTTTCCCACTGTGAGGCTTGCCTTGTGAATCCCAGCCTTGAAAGGTGAGAACAGAATGATGTAAAACATGTCATAAAGTAAGAGATGGTTTAAATAAATTTCCTCATGGAAGAACATCCATCACACTAATTTCAGTTCTCAAGTGCAGTGAACTGAGTGATAAAGATCATGTTTGTCTGTAGAAAGGTAGTAGGGAGAAGTCCCGTTCCAAGTTCGTGGGGATTGGATTGGATACTGGTGTCAGAGAGAACAAGGATTCACCTCATGCTTAAAATTCAGGCTGGAAAGTTGAAGAGAATGGAAGGATCTGTACCCTTCAAAAATCAGGGGGGCTGAAAACAGTTGGGTAGGGAAATTTATCTTGCTTTTTCAAAGGTAAACAGACACAGTGAATGTGGGAGAATAACAGGGAAGAGCTCTGAAATCAAATGATTGAGATAAGAGAAATGAGAATTCTTGTTCGCGGATTACAGCATTCCTACATTAATTATGTTGTTTCATTTTACATGGCTGCTCTTTTTGAAGCTTTAGAACAAATATTCAGAATACAGTAAATCAAGTCATGTTCTTCTAGCTGTGCCACTTGAACCTTGTATCATTTGGTTATTAAGGAGGAGGAGTGGTGCAAAGTACTTGCCATTAGGTTCGCTTGGTTGCTCGGTGCAACACTGTCATCTCCTCTATGTGTAGACGTGGCTTCCTAGGTTTTCTTCTGTTTTTCTCCCTATTTAAACCTTTTTCACAATGGCAATTGACCTGCTGTGAGGAGAAAGGAATATGTATGCATATGTATACATACGCATCACATACTTACTCTCAGAAGGTGTAGTTGTGTGAGTTTGGGCAAGTTTAGCTGGATTTTATGTTTTCCCATTGCACTAGGAGCTAAATGAAGTTTCTTCACTGACCTTGGAATTTTCACACTTATAAATACCATGAATTGAAATGTCTAGCTTCCTGTGCCCCATTATCTGGAAAAACTTCAGACGATCTCCAGGGTGGAGACTGCTGTGATTGAATGTGGTCTGCAGGTTTTGGGGTATTATTTTTTATTGTAGATTTTAGTTTGCAGTACAGTTTGTGGGAATTGGAGCTTATGCAGGAAGCAGGCATCTATAATAACATGAACTTCCACAAAACAATTTTAATCCAGTCATCTTCAAATCAGAGAGGTGGCAACTTCTGACCCATAATACAGCTCATGTAATGAGAGAATGAACAAAGCTACCCGAGGCAGATGCTGATCTTACCACCTGATGTAAATGGGAAAGGTGCTTAGAAACTGGAGCAGTAAGGGAAGTTAAAAGGTCACACAGTTAGTGCTAGGGTCTATTTTTCTGTGTCTTTTGGGGGTTTTAATCATGTTACTGACTCTGGATTTGCATCAATTTTCATGTAAGAGGGAGTGTAGGGATTTATTGACTTGATAAATCCTAAGGAAACATTCAAATTGTTATTTGAAGGTAGGGCTCCCAGAATATTTTTGTTACCTGTTTGGTTTTGGAGAGGACAAAACATAGTGAAACTGAGAGTGTTTTCAGTCATTTAGAAGGGTTATTTTAAACAGCTGTGTTAATCTTTGTCTAGGCCCTGAAAAGGCAATTAAATGTGAGTTTGCATACACAAAGGTGTATGTTTGCACATCTAAATTATAATCTGTTTATAATAAACAGACTTAACGTTCAGGCCAGAGAGAATGTCTTTAACCTCTCCCCCAAGCACTGCAGCTGACCTGAACAGGAAAGATCGGAAGAGGCATCTGCACTTACAATGTGAGAGAGATTGTGTTTAATACCTGGTTAGACATTCATTAGTACCTGCCTACAGCTGACTGGGTGCTATGTGCTTGCTGCTTCCAAGCATAATGTTCATAGAATAATGGAGTAGTTTGGGTTGGAAGGGACCTCAAATATCTTCTAGTCCCAACCCCTCCACATAGGCTGGGTGGAGACACCTTCCACTTCCATAAGTTGTCCAAATTGCTGAAAGCCCCATTCAACTTGACTTTGAATACTTCCAGGCATTGGGCAGCCACAGCTTCTCTGGGTAACTTGTGCCTTGCCACCTCACAGTGAAAGATTTCTTCCTTATATCTGATCTAAACCCACCCTCTGTCAGTTTAAATTAATTCCTCCTCATCCTGTCCCTGCATGTCCTTGTAAAAAGTCCTTCTCCAGCTTTCCTGGAGGTCCTCTTCAGGTACTGGAAGGTGCTATATGGTTTCCCTGAAGCCTTTTCTTCTCCAGACTGAGCAGCCCCAGCTCGCCCAGCGTGTCTGCAGAGAAGTGCTCCAGCCCTCTGAGCATCGTCATGGCCTCCCGTGGACTTACTCCAGCAGGTCCATGTGCTCCTTGTTCTGAGAAGCCCAGAGCTCAATGCAGCAGTGTAGTCTTTAAAGACTGCTGTTTTAGTGTCATGACATTGTTCACTGCATCAGCCAAAAAGACAGAAATTGCTGTTTTCAAAAGGTGAAACTGAAGGACTGATTCAGATAGTCGTAGGCTTTTTTTTTCTATATGGGTTCTAATTTTTACGTCAAAATACTTTAAATGAAAGGTTTTCAGAAGTAATGCCTCTGCACTATTTTTCCACTTTGTTCGAAAGTCATGTGCTGTGGAAGAGTAATGTGACCAGGAAGTGTGGCAGGTGTGAGGACACTGCCTTTTGTCCCTGGAGTTCTGCTGGAGGGAGAGGGGAGCAGTCTGAGCAACGAGAATAGGGCAAAGAAAATAGAACCTACTATTACATTTATCCTGTGGCTTACAGAAGAAACTGTAAGATGCTTTGTTTGAAAGTTTGGCAAAGTATAGATTGATCAAACAGGCAAGCAGGCAGATGTCATTCATGTTAACTCCTCACAATATTTTATTTTTCTGAACAAGCATGGTTACCATGTCATCTGGAAACCTCAGGATTTTGGAACACAATTTTTCATGTGTGACACATGAAAATATAAGTGTTTAAATATGAGACATCACAAAACAAGACTTTTAGGACTAGATTTTATTCTGTTTATGCAGAAGAAACCTGGCATTTGCACTCACAGTTAACTAATCAGGATGTAATAAGAGGGTATTTTCTGTCACTATGTGAAAAAAAGCTGGCTGTTGAAGTCTTCAGATTGTTTTCTGTAATATCTCTACCTTTCAATAAGAAGTGTTTGACCAAACATGTTACAAGTTAGTTATTTAAGTAACTTGTCAGTTGGTGATAATGTTATAAATAAAAACATCTTAGTAAATTTTGTTGTATCCTGAAGGTTTTTATCATGCCTTGTATGCTGACTCTTTCCATAAAGATGAATAATAACAATGGCAAATGGTTGATGAAAATAATGCTTTGTGGACTGTACCTATGAGGTAATTGACTGGTGTTTTTTTATCTTGCTGAAATCTTGTATTAGGAGATGAAGTACAGCACTGGTGACATTGGCTGCTTGTTATATCAGTTATTAATTTTTGACTGAAATCTTTTGACCAGTTATTTGATATTTGTACAAATACTACAAATAAATATTGCCCAGTAAATATTTCTAAAATTAGTTTACAGTCGGGTGGGTACTTTTATTTTCTGGGTCAAAAAGCATTATATATCCACATAAACGTCTTTTTCATTGAAGTAATCTGTGTATTAAGGGTCTCCTATTTCTCCATTTTATTTTTATTAAATTTTCTACTTTGTGGGGAATGGGTGACTATGTTGTATTTGGAGATTATTAACAAGCAGAGTTGAGCCTCCATCAAGGTGAAGTACCCAAGTATTCCAATTTTCCTTTTGATAATTGCCTCTCTAGTTCCTATAGAAGGTCCATGGTGACTCAGTTTTTCTTTAATGATTTACTGATCTCTTGCATCTCTTTGATAGTGCAGTAGGTTTCCACAGTTCTCTTTACTGGAGAATATGGCTCGTGTTTACTGTGGTGGTATATGAGGGCCAGTGACCTGTTTCTGTCTTCTATTAGTTATTAGCCTTATTTTGTGTCTGTTGAATGCATAATCCTACGGTTATTTTCAGGTACTCCCTTGGAGAGCCTTATTTAGTGAGCTCAGCATAGGTGAAATTGTTGGTTTTTTACTAACTTCTGCATGAACAGAAGTAACACTACTACTGATATCTTCTGATTGACCTAAAACGTTCCTCAGAAAATTCACAGGTTCTGCTACTGGCCCACTACTGGTCCCAGTAAAACTAATCCAAGCTAAACTTTTCCAGTGTCCAGCATTTACATGTAGACCTGTGAGAAAGAGTGGTGATGGATGCTGTGCATCCATAATTGTCATTGTCAGCACAGAGTCGTTGTGTGTGATAAGTACTTGTGTACCCCTGGAAATAAAGGTGTCCAAAATTAGTCAATAATTGATTCCTGGTTTTATTATTATTTTTTTTAATACTGTCTGTTCTTTCTTGGGCATCTTTATATGCACTTAGTAATACTTCATAAGAAAGCTGTTAGGGTTCATTCACGAATGCTCATAATGTTCTTTTTATTGTATAAAAGTGAAGAGTTCTGGTATTTCTGTGCTAATGATTTTGCATTAATTCAATAGTCACAATAGTCAGAGACAGAAACAATTCCTTGTTTTAAGAAATTTTGACTTCTGGGTTTTGACTGTAATTTTTAATTTCTTGGCAATAGGCAATGGGAAATCCTAGCTGTAGCCTATCTTGTCCTTACATTGTCCTTTCCAAATACTGAGGAATTTTAGAAATATTTTAGAAATCATTAATGTTATGAGTAAAATAAAAAGTGTTAGAGATTGGACTTTTAACTTTGAATGTTTTCCAGGCTTCTCTATTGTTCTACATTTGAAAAAAAATGGAAGTTCTAATTATGTTTTTGTGTTTCAGGTCTTAAAATGGCAGCAGAAGATTCCTATATCATGGGAGTATCTGATCCCCAGGTAAGTGAATTTCTTAAGTGTTTTCACCATCTCTGTATCCTCTCCTAGCTGTCTGTTTAGCATTCTCTCATAGTGTCCTGTGATTTCCTAGACTTAATTTGGACATAGAAAATCATTCTCCATTGGCAGAAATTTGGGCTTTTTTCCTAAAGCTGGTTTTTATGTGACCTGGAAAGTGCCTTGCCACTGGTTAAATGGCTGAAATGAGAAGGAAAGCTAGGCCTGCTGAATTAAGCAGTTGGAAAAAGTACTTATTTTTATGCCCTGCATACCTGTGACACTTGCTTTGAAATTTCTTCTGTGGTGGACATTGGAGTCTTTCTGAAAATAAAGCCCCTTATGTTCTAAAAGGCCCTTTTGTGTCAATTCTTGTGATGTTTGCATTGACAGTGATGACTAAAATGTTCCTTCACTCACACAGATCCATAGGCCTAGCTCTTCAGGAGCTCTTCTTGATCTTCTTAGATCATTTCATGAATTACTTGAACTTGAGAATGGTGCTTGGGTGAAAAGTTTAAGTGAAGAACATGTAATTTCTACTCACCTTAATTTTCAAAAAGCAACTATTTTCTCCTTTATGCTTGCTCCACTTTGGAAAAAGATAGATTTATAGTAAGTTAAGACATGCCAGTGTTTAAAAAAAAATAAAATTAAACATTAACTTGAATGTACTGTTTTCTTGCATTAGAGCTTGTAAATACATTTACATAAGGAATGTAGTCTAGTGGGGTTTAATCAGAGAAGTGGAAAGAAAACTCAGAGGTGCTTAGCAAGGCCTTGGGCAAGACAACTAGAGTCAGATTTTCAGAATTTACTGTATAAGTTCTTTAGAATTTGTAGTTGTTACTGCATGTAAGCAAAATGGGTGTTTAGAAACTGTGCTGAGGTTGGTGCGGTGATTCTGGTGAAACTTGGGTCTGTGCTGTCAACTCTGCTTGCAGTGCTGTTGCCAGCAAAAATAAAATAGCTGTAAAATGTTTATGTAATTCAGTGAGGTGTTTGCAGAGAATATTTGCAGGGAACTTTGAAGTTCTTTGCTGATATATGTTTAATGCAACTATGTATATATGTAATAATGAAGAGTATTTTCTTTCAATATAGATGTTTGCAGTGGATCAGTTCATGGGAATGAATGCTTTATTTAACAGTACAAATTACATCACTTCAGACTTGCCACTACGAACAGGTAGGAACCCTTACTGTGTGATGGTGCTATTGTCCTGCTGATTCTTCCTGTTTGTTTTCTTTTGAGCAGTTCTTTTCAGAGCCTTTTTCTATTTACTTGCGTGTCGTAATAGTAGATTGCAAAGTTGTTGACTAGATTTTTTTATTACATCTTTTTGCCTGTTTCTTCCCCTCATGAAACTTTCAGCAGTGAGACAAATCAGATTTTTTGTGGCTTGTACAGAAACTGAAAGTTTCAGCAGTTTCCCAGGTGAAACCAGGACAGTGACCAAAGAGCTTTGAGTGACCTGATTTTATAAATTACTTTGTTGAAGCTTTTTTCTGAATTTGAACCTTCAGCGAGTTGCATGTTTCTGTTGCCAGTTTGCAGACTGCAAGATGTTCTTCTTTTCCTTTTGAATGCTGTTGCATTTGTTATAGTAGTTCTTAAGGCGCTTGTTTTTCAGTAATTAAATGCAGAGAATGTTAACTTCCTGTAACATTCAAATATGTTTTTCCTTCTCGGTGACTTCTCTGTTTCCTGTGAAGTGGCCGTGTGGTATTAGAAGCACCTGACAATTTCCTGAGCAATAACACTAGTTTGAAAACTCAGACAAACTTTGCAACAAACCACTGAAAATAGCAAATAGTATTCTGCAAAGGTCTGATAAGCAGTTTTACAGTATGCTTCCAGAATAGTAAGAACAAATACAAGTCTTTTATGGCTCAGTCAGTATCAGCTGCTTGATCAACCTTGGTCTGATTTTGCTTATTAAAGTTCTTTATAAATATTACTTCTTGCATGAATTTGGAAAACTCTTTTTTCCTGCTTGGTCTATTAGAACAGCTGATACAAAAAGAAGAAGGAAATAAACTTTTATATAAACTTAGGAATTTTTTCTCAAAATATAGCCCCAACTTAGCTGTTCAAGTCTTTTACCATGACAGCTTTCTCCTGTAACCTCTTTGACTCTGTTGTATTAGGAGGTAGCTGCTATCTTACGCATTGCAAATTACTTTCTTTGGTTGAAAGTGCAAACCACTTCTGATTGCAATATTTGATGCACTTCATAGCAGTGAAGGGGTTAAGGGTAAAATTAAATAAGCATTTAACACTTTCCTTCACAGGTAAAATTCCACCCTAAAGTAACAATAAATGCTGCTTATAGAAAAAAAATTAAAGCAGGCTTATTGCTTTAGTGTTTCCTTATTTTCTTAAAAGAGTAGTATTAAGAAACACATGGTACAGATAATTCTGTTTTAAGATAAAATGTTCTCATGAGCAAGGCTCTTGACAAATATGGAAAAACATCCAGCAAATTAATGTTGCAATCATTTGTTTACAGTGTATTTTTTTAAGGCAGATAAAATTATTCAGTAAGATTCATCTATGTAGTATTAAAGGGCTTGTGCATTGTAGACCAAGGGTTTTTTTCCTCCCAGTTTCTGTTGAACAAATAAGGTTATTGAAACTTCCCTGTAATGAGCTATTTTACATGTACCTTTTAAGCTTACTCTGTATTCTTCTTGCCAGATTCATTCCACACAAATTATTCAGATATATAAAACTAATTTTCAGATAACTTTGTCTCATTTAAAGTAGAAAGCGGCTGTTTTCAAAACCATGTCAGGGAGTCAAGGATTCACTGAGTTCTGCTGCCACAGAAAACTCTTACTGGGCTAAGTCTAGCTCTGTCCTTAATTTGCAAAATTGCTTTGAAAAGGCTTTTTTTTATAAGTGCCACTGCTCTTGTCTACTGCTGCACCATAGGTGGCAAGTTCCTTGTGCACAAAATGGGATTCAGTAAAGAATCATGGATTTCAGGTTATCACAATCAAAAAGTTAATCAAAAAATTTCAGAAAAGGTTGATCATTTCAGCAGCATCTGATGATGCCACAGCTGGTTTGTTTCTTGAACAGTATCTCAATAATCCTTTCTTCCTCACCTTATTGAAAATACGCCACGTTGTTACTATGGACTGGCTCTTCAGTTATAAGATAATACCATAATTTTTATATTCTACTTTAGTGGTTTTCAAGCAGGGACTAATGATTTCTTTCTACTCAGCAAGGTCAGTTAAAAAAGTCATGTGGGATTTTTCAGAAGTACTTCCAGCTGAGATATGGAGAGAGAGAAATAAAAGGATTTTTCTCAAGGACAGATGGATGATTAAGACAGAAAGAACCTCTTGATCTGGCTTTGGTGCCTGTATATTTTAGTCTATGCATCCAAAAATGCACAATGTCAGACCTATTACATCGGCAGACAGGTTTAATGTATAACTGTGGATTGCCATGTTGTGCCAGCGTGGCTGAATCAACAAGTAGCTGGGGAATTTGGGGACTTTCTGGTGATGGATGTTCTGCTGTTTTGTTAATATTTATAGTAACAGTAGAAAACCTGAGATGTTGGGACATGGATTTTTCTCAACATCATTGTCCGTGCTCAAGTGTCTTTGCGTGCTTCTTTTTCTCTCTCATATGTCCATTTTAAATAAAAATTAGGCTTTTTTGTTACTTTGGCTCTAAAGCTGTATTAGTTGCATGGTTCAAGTTCTACCAGCAGAAAAGGCAGTACCTCATGAAGTCAGCCTCTTTGGCTTGCTGGGAAGTATCCTGCCTTTGATTAGGTAGATTCTGATCCTTAATGGCATTGGGGATGGAGGGAGCATTATCCACAGCATGTATTTAGGCAGAGTAAAAGCAGATGCACATCAGTGGGACGTCCACTGTAGTGCAGTGGAGAAACAAAGTGATGCCTCACATTGGAGAGGAAATGGGCAGAGCTCTCAGCTAAGCAGTTTGTAATTGTGGATGTTTTGTACTTCCACATGATGAACCAAGGCCATCTACAACCATGTAACATGCCCCAGTTAGAGGTGGGTTTGGGAACTGTGTAGTTGTTTTGTCTTCGAGAGGCTCTGGTCTGACTAGCTCTCAGCATTAAGGTGGTGTGTTTTTAAAACTTTGAAGTTGAAGCAGAGCCATCAGGAGTTGAACAGTATTGCCTGGAGGCAATAATTTTCTGCTGTTCCTTTAACCTATTCTGCCCAACCTTGTGTGACACTTGGCTGTGAAAAATGAAAAGGTTATAGAGGGCAAAAGAAGGCGATGAAAGTTTTTTTTCATATTCTTTCAGCGAGAGATAATGTTAGAGGTTTAAGGAAACCAGACCACCTAAAATGAGTGTTCATATTTCCCAGTTCCACGGTAGTGGTCCTAATCCTCAGGAGCTTGGACAGACTTGCACACAGTTTCTGGTGTTCTTTCTAGATCTTCTGTGCTTGTGTTTGGAAGGGTGATCCAAGAGAAGAAGTTAAGCAAAGTCTCATGTGCCATTTGCTTTAAACATCAAGCTTTGAACACTGAAGGGCTGGGATTTAAGAGAGTGTTCCTGTGCAGGGGAATCCCTGAAGGGTGGGACATGCAAATGCTACAACAGGTCTTCAGGAAGGATAAGGCACTTGGTCTCCAGTCTGAGCTTTTAGCAGCAAGGTACCACTGCCAGGATGGACACAAGAGAGCTGATGTGGGATTTAACAATGAAAACCTACAGGCTATGAGCATTTCCATCCATGTCCACAGAGCTAAGCAGCAATTACAGGTGTGAGATGCCTGTTCTGGGAGGCCCACCAACAGAGGATGGGAGGGAGACTTGTCCACAGGTTGTTGCAGGTTAAATTGAATGGTTTTAAGTACTAGAAAAGCTGTTAGATACAGGTCCCCACAAGTCCAACATTGTTGCTAGGCTTGCAGGGATATCCCACCAGCCTCAGAGACCCATTTTTCCTTGAATTTGCTATCATGGGAAGGTATCAAGGGGGAGCCTAAGATGGTGCTTCTTTGGAAGTGTATGTGTGTGTGTGTGTGTGTGTGTGTGTAGGGTGAGGCCTGTCAAGAGGAAAAAAGAATGCCAAGTGGTGGGAGTGTCAAGGGGCAGGAGGTCCTCTGACTCAGGCAGGAAGGAAAATGAAGAAACCTGGCAGTTGAAGAAGACATGGGGAAGTGGGACTGTGACTCAGACTGGAGCGGGATGCGAGTCGGTCTGTGGCAACTGAGGCGAGAAGGCAGAAGAAGAAGCCCTGAAGCATGGGCAGGATGTGGCAGTCTGCACCAAAGCCCCTCCAGGCTGGAGGACCACATGTTGTGGCTGCAGTTCTTGGCCTCCCAGCCCTAGCAGTGCCAGGCAAAGTGCAAGGAGCGCTCCTGTGAAATCCTGGCTCTTGGCAATGTGAGAGCCATGCCTTTGTAGAGGCAGCTCCGTGACTGTGTCCTTCAGCCTCTCTGTAGGGCAAAGGTAGAACATAAACTATGCATTCAGTCCTTCTTGTGGCTGTTTAGCATTTAAAAAGGGGTTGCTCCTTAAACAAGAGCTTAAAGCAAGCACCTTGTGGGCTGGAAGGATGGATCATCACAAATCTCATCATTATTAGTTCCTCTTACCCTCTTACAAGATGTGCATCTTCAGGTTCCTGCTCTTTGTCTGCTTAGACAAAGACACACCTACTAATAGAAAAAAATATTAAAAACTTCCTTGTGCAAAACACTAAATGTATTTTCTTTTCCCGATGAGAAAGGGTGAGAGAAGGAAGGAACCACACATAGCCAATGTTAGGCTGTGTAATGTGCTTCTGGGAAGTATTCAGAGTTCAGTAAATTATAGTATTCAGCTATATTCAGACCTTTCACTAAGTAAAATACTTTTCGTAATCAAAATAATATGCCATTTATGCCTGGATGTTTTCTTGAACATTGAACATTGCTGGTTTATTTTTAAGTAGCATTTCAGATATTATTAAGTGCTTTGCATTAGAATGCCTTCTCTGTACTGTCATTTGTGTCTGGCTGAGATGCTATACCAGAGAATTACTTAGTCACTGTTAAAAAAAAAAAAAGGAAAATCTTAAGTTATGGAACACAAAAGTTAAAATAAGACCTAAAAAAACCTGTTTAAAATACATTGCTTTGTTATTTGTATAATGTGGGTTAATAACTGACATCTAATCTGGCTTTTTACATTTACACTGCATCTTTTTTGTACTTTTCTAGTGCTGGTATATAAAACATCATGTGTTGTTTTTTTTTTTAATCAGCTTATTTGTATGCTTTTTATAAGCTTTTATTCCAAGAGGTCAGAATAATCACAGTCAGTCCTAAGTTTTCAATTTTCCTGAGTTTTCACAGCTGCCATGCAAGGTCAAACTATTTCAATGGTATGAAGCATTTTTCTTTAGTTTTCCAATGTGTCAAGATAGTGTATATGCCTCTGTTAGGAGTTTGAATTTCCTTATGCTGAGGAAAAGCTGGAACTTGGGTCTGATGTGTCTTGGGGGACTTCTGCAGCCATGTAGCCATTGGATAACAACACTTCCTTTTCTAGCTAATGTTTCAGGGAAAGCAATAGTATTTTGTGCTAACCCAACATGTATGTCTTGAAAATTAATTCCTAAGAGGAGAAGAGCCAAAGAACAATTACTTGGCAGATCATGCCCTGGAGGCTTGGTTGAAAATTGAACTACACACTTGTGTTTTAGGTGCATACTGCTGCCAATGCCCAGAAAATACAAGGCTTCTGGATTGTTAAAGTATAAATTTTCAGATGCCTAAAGCATGAGGAGGATTAGAGGTCTGTGAAGAGAGATCTTAAATTTAAATGCTGATGTATTGTTTAAACCCAACTCAGCAAATCTTGATTCTATCTGTTACAGACAAAAACTGAAACACAAGGCCAAAGTTAAATGTTACTCTACATCTTTTAAAGTTCCTGAAGTCCAAACTGTTTTTCTTCCTGTAATGCAAGATGTATGTGGCATGCAATCATTTTTCATGAGTTCAAGTAGCACTGTTTACTTTTAAAGAAAAGTACAATTAATGGACTTGGGAAATAATTGATCTTTAAATGTGACTTTGTTGTGACTGACATTTGCAATAAAGTTAGTTCAGTTGCTGAGTCAGTTAACTGCAGCAGCAGAATACTAATTTCATCTATTGTGTATTTATTAAAACATCCATGTTGAGAGAAGCTTGTTCAGTTAAGACCGATGGTTGATTCCTTAGCATTAATACCTTTAACGGAGTAGAAGTGGTGATACAGAATTCCAACAGGAATATGGCTGGAAAAATATTACGTACGTATTCCCAGTGAAGTTGTCATTTAGGGTCTACTTTGAAAGCAACTGATCTTTTAGATCAGTTTGATCTATTTTAGATCTTTTTGATCTATTGAAATAGAAATCATCTTGACTGCTTAGGAAGAGAGGGAAGAAATCATAGCTCTCGGAATGATCATTTTGAGACTCATGAGTGGCGTGCATTTTAAGAGGTATTTCACAGCCATTCACCCAGAGAGCTTTCCTTCTCGATGTAAATAATCTAAATGATCATAGTTGGAGCTAAGCTTTGATCATGTGATGAATGCTTAACTCTGGTGGCACTGAATTCTCATTGGATTTAGAGCCTACTCAAAAGCTATATAAACTGGAGAATTTTACATGAAGTTTATAGTATGAAGTTAGCCACTGTATGAGATTGCAAGTTGTTTAATGAAGCCTTCTTTAAAAGACACAAATAGAATTTTAGTAGAACGTAATCTTATGTGTTGACACCATGCTCAAGATGGATCTCAATATAGTCTGCATATGTAGTCAAATTGATTGTATTCAGTGTTTTTAGAGGGCCAGCAGAACACTATATTTAAAAGTGCATCTGAAATTATTAAAAGAATGTAAATTGTTTAGTATTCTCAATTCCAGGATTTTTTTTTAAAGCAGTTCTGACTGTTGGGGCGTGTTGAGACAGCTTGAATTCCTCCTGTATTCCCATGCCTCAGAGCTTCCCATTGGCTGTCTCTTGACTTTCAAAAGCACGTATTCTGTAGGTAGCCCTAGGGCCAAAAGCTGGTGAGTATAGTCTCTAGAGCCCAAGGGGTTTAAATACAAAAGTTAACCTTAGCTCAAGAAGCCAGACTGCTGTCAGTGGCAAGGGAAGGATCCTGTTCTTATTCACCATTGCAAGTTTTAACTGAGTGATCAGTTGCCCATTTAGGCACTCTGAGCTAAAATTAACTTTTTTGACTTAATCTTCCTCTTTTTATTCCACTAGTCTTTAGTTGGGAATGACAGACTGCCAAGTGATTAATAAGTTATTGTAATTTAAGTTTTGAAGAGGCTTAGATGCTTTCAAAATCTTATCTCAAGTCATTCAAGGACATAATCTTACCCCTACAACTTAGATATTAATTATAGAAATAGAAATATAATTTCTATTAATAATTTTATTTCTTTCTTTTATATTAGCAGATGGACCATATCTTCAGATCATAGAACAGCCAAAACAGGTAAGAACAAGACTGCATTTTGAAAATGTCTATGGTGCCTATATTACCACATTCAACTTTGAATAAACTTATGACTTAAATAAAAAAGAGTACAGAAAAGTGTGAGCTCTCAGAACAAATGTGGCACTTGAGCATAAACAGTTTTAACTCCTACTTTTGTAGTTAAAGCATTTCCTGTTTTGTTCTGTTTTCATCTTTATCTCTCTCTGAAAGTGTCGTAATACAAAAAAACCTAAGAGTTTTAAAAATATGCCTTGCTAAGTATAGACTCATCATCTTAGAAGTGACTGTTACAGTACCCCAGTATTTGGAAACATAAACTAGTAGATCAAACATGGAGGGTTTTCAGGATTTGTTTCATAGTTTTTGAAACACAAGAGGTTAAAAATAAAAACACTTAATTCCCAAGTTATAGGAACTTCTGACTTGTTTTTTTGTTGTAAAGAAATGTAGTTGACCTTTGAGATTATTTTTGTTATGGTTTTCTGTTTTGAATAATCGAAGAAAAATTAAGAGAAGTACTCGAATGAAACTTTTTTCCTGTTATGTAGCAAACACTGACCTAGGCTTCTCTGACAGCAGAGAAGTCATTTCAATGCACTGGTTAGTTTTCATGCAACTGATGTACAGAGTAATTGCTGGCTAAAGTTTGCCCTGAAGTGTGTCTGGGTATTGTTCCCTTCAGCTGGTGGCACCAGCAATTACAAGGAATTCCTCCTGAAGCTCCTGCTGAAGTTACAGTATGGAGGTGCCTTTCCTGTCTGTCCTGGTGAATTGCATAAAATCCTACCTGACAGAGCTGTTCAGTAAACAGGGGAAGACAGTGGCTAGAAGCTGTCCCATCCTCCTCTTGGTCTTCTGCAGAAGCATACTGCAATCTAGTCTTCCTGGCAGGAGGCAGTGGAGAGCACTGGTTTCAATCACATACCAAAGACGTTCTTGTGCTTGAGCATCCCTTCAGGAGTAGGACTCCTCATCGCAGCACTAAGTGAAACAGCAGTGTACTGTGAATTCTTGGAAGAAGATGCTGCACCTTCCTCATTGTTTTAAGTTCATCCCAAATCAGGCCATGTCTTTCCATGGTGGGGCCTGCAGTGCAGAGTCCATAAGGAGAAGCCGTTGTTTCCATGTGTGGCTCCTCGCGTGGAGTTCCCATGTGGGAAGCAGGGGTTTTTATAGAGTGATGTGTCCTGACTGCATAGAGTTTGCTTTGCCCTTTGGTCAACTTGAGTTCAAGCTCATCATAGCTGGGCACTACACACACAGTATTCTGGGTCACTCAGTTCACCTTAGGAAGGCAATTGACCAGGTCTGGATAAAAGTCATAAAAGTTTACACTTGCTTGGTAAGCAAGTCTTAGCCTGAAAAGGCTTTAGTGGGATAGATATTGAAGCTACTGCTTATAGATTAATTTTAAGATATGTTATTCACTTTCAGCTGATATAGACTTCGAATTCAGAGTTGTCTACTACTAGAAAGAAACTGCATGATTCTTGGAAAAAGCTACAACACTAACTAAAAAGTGCTATTTGGACACTGGGAGCCCTATAAAAGATGGGGATTTTGCCAGAAATTGCAGGACTGGAGAGCGAAAGCAAAATTTGGAATCACATGAAATATATTGTTAAGTAGAGTTAGACGTATTAGACATCTTTGATTAAGAGTTGCATCTTTTGTGCTTTATAGATTGCCATGTACAATAAGGGGGATGTTCATCAGTGGACTAGATGGAGAGCTGTGCTTTGGACTGTTTTTCAATATACTGCAGTTCTCTAAAGTATATTCAGATGTCTGTTTTATGTAGCTGAGACGAAAACCAGCCAGAGTCCCCCGAGGCTTTCATGTTTCTGGATTTCACTTGGAGATACAGCTTTCATACATTTTCCCCAGAAGGAGGAAGTGTTTCTCTTTCATCCCTGTACTTTCCTTTATGGTGCTTTGGACTTCCTTATTTGTTTCAATTTCGTCTACCTAGCAGCAATCTTGGGAGAGAGTATCTGCTCTTGCATTTACTAGATGTGAATTTTTATCCTATTTTAAGAGTGTAAATAGTTCTCTGTTTCGAAATATCTTCACTTAACTGAAAGAAAAAGATGAGATTGCTGCAGTGTGTTATAGTGAGAATAGAACAGGTTCTCCAGGGCTACAGTTCAGTGATGCTTTGTTAACCAGCACTCAGCATTTCATGGATGAACAATTGTAACTTTTCCATTTGGGTGAGTCTTGTTTGTGGGTGCACACTTTGTGTGTACTGTTTCTCTTTTGGTTTTGTTTCTGTACAGCTTTCAAGTTTCTTTTCCTTTATTCCACAGAGGGGATTTCGTTTCCGATATGTATGTGAAGGGCCTTCACACGGTGGACTTCCTGGTGCTTCTAGTGAAAAGAACAAGAAATCGTACCCTCAGGTCAAAGTAAGGACATAAAGCATTAATTTTGTGAAGTTAATGTAAATATATATGTGTATAGGACCTTATTGCATAGCAACATAAATTTGTATGAAGTTGCTCAAGACAGACTACATTTCAATCCCAACGTTCAAACTGATTTTGAAAAGAAAGTTGTCCTAAGATGTGTGGGTTTGTTTTGGCACCGTTTTTATCTGCCAGCAGTTGAGCAGTAACTTCTCTGGACCTACTGCCTCACTACCACTGTGCACACTAATGGAACTCTTCCTTAATGTGCAGTTTTAGCAAGGCTTGAGCTGCTCAGTTGCTCCATTTCCATTGCAAAGCATGAATCGGCTTAGTTATTCCATTTCACTCTAGGATGCCATTTACCAACTTTTCCTTTTTTTTCTGTTCATGTTATTCAATATCTCTAGGGTACTACATCCTTAGGAACTTAATTCCTTCAAAGTCAGCGTGGAACTTCCCATTTTAATAGGAACAGTGTTGTGTTCAGGTGTTTATTGAACTTTTTTGTGGGGTTTTTTTTTCCCCTCTGGAAAAAAATTCAAATATGTTAATCAAAGAAATGTTCTATGGAGGCACAGTATAAAGATTAGAAAGGTGATTAATCATTCTGGGATTAGAGAACTGTCTTTGCCTATGGTTCTTGCAGCAGGTTTTTTTTTCTGTGGAAGTCTGGAAAAGCTACACTGTCTTTTCAGTATTCTTATTAACTTAAATGCAAGCTTTGGCCTTGTTATTGCATTTCATCTTTGAACTGTTGCACTGCAGCTTCTCATGAGGAGCAGGGTTAATGTATTCTAACTGGTGTTATTTCTTAATGTATTCTAATTCTGGTGTCTCTTACTCCTTTATGGGGAAAGAAGGGGAGGGAAGAGTGGCAAGCAATAAACCTCTGCCTTGGTGTGTGCCACTCGAGGTTGTTCTCCTCACTGTGTGTGTAGCTCATCTGCAGTTCTTGGGAAAGGTGGAGTTTGGAACAGTTGCATCTCCTAATGAATCTGTATGAGCATAACATAATGGAAAATAATCAGCATTGGCTGAGGTAGCCTAGGCTGTTAGTCTTATGAATTGAGAAGAAGCTGGGAAAGCTGATTTCATATAGTCTTGCAAAACTCTTAGGAAAAATTACTAGCCCAGGCAAATAATCAACTTGCTTTTCTCTTTCCAATTTTGACAGTAATGATGAACCAGTGAATGAAATTTCACTGGTATGTTCAGATATAAAATAATTTACTTCAGTTGAGCTAGATCTTTGAATTCCAATCCAATCTGTAATGATAATAACACAAGTGATACTTTATAAAGGTGTGGTAGGTCACACAATAGCATGACAAGGAGTTATACAGGAAATGGAATTTCTCCTTCAGTAGACTAGAAAGCAGAATATTCTTTGGCTTTCCATCAAACCTTCTCATTTCATTGATCATCACTTTTTAATTTCATCTAGAGCTCACACACACACATCCCTTCCCTCCCATCCTACTGTGTGTATCTCGGATTTTTTCTAGTACAAATCCCCACATGGCAACACCGGCTGGGAGAGGCTGGCAAGGGAACACAAGTAAATTCCTCAAGGCCATTGCTTGTTAGTGCCTGTTTTTGATTCAAGTGGTGCCAGGAAAGACAGAAGTGTTTCACACCTTTTCCTGTAAGCCTTTTCTGTGTTTTGTCAGAATGTGCTCACTTTGTCTTAACTGAGGGGAGCACAATTGAAAACTGCAATTTTTTCTTGTGTTGGAGTTTGTTTGAGGGGGTTTTTTTTGTTTGTTTTGATTTGGTTTTTTGGTGGTTTTTTTTTTTTACTCTTGTGCCGGTGTTTTCACTATGTAACCTACATTAGTTGATCACAGTGCAGTGGAAGGACAGTAGCATGAGCTTTGGCTGTACTGTAAAAAAAGGAGGTTTTGTGACAGATCTTTAAACCTTTGCCAATGGTGTGGTCTGTGCAGCTCAAATTGGGATCTGCTTAGTGCTTGGCCAACTCTCAAAATTTACTAGTAGCTACCATGGGATGTCCTGAAAATAGACATCCTCAGTGCACAAAAAACCATTGCAGTCTCCCTATTCTGTTTTCATAGGATTATAGATTGGAAGCCAGAAGAAAAAGAAAACACATTTATGGGATGTGACCTCTTACATAATGTGGACTGTTCAACTTCACCCCCTTTTTTTCTTTTCTCCCTGCACTGTCACTAACTTGTAACTAAGCTGGAACACATCAAGAAATATCTCTCACCTGAAGGCTGGAGTGCTGAAGACTTTGCTATATCTCTAAGCAAGATGCATTGGTATTTAATTACATGTTTAACCTCTTCCTTTATAGTATATTATTAGTTGGTGTAGGTGAGGACACTTAATGTAGCAGTTCTGCAGTGCCAATCTTCGCACTTGAAACAAATCTGCACTGGCCAGCAAGGTGGAATTGATGTAAAATCTCTTGTTTAATGGAACAGTCCTGACTAATGGAGTCTAGAAAATAGTGTATATTTTTCTATAGTATCAAAAATGGGATTAATTTATCTTAATGATTTGTGGAATTGTGTTCCTTTGTTTAGCCCTGTCTTTGCTAGCAGTAATCTTAATATGTATAAAACATTTGTTTATTCAGAGGATTCTATATAACTTTGCATGTCATTATGGAGAGCAAGAGAAAATTTAGATAATAAATATGTTACAATGAAGTTATGTTTCATGATTGCAACCTAAAATTCTTCATCTAAATTTCATTTTCATCCACTTAGTGTAAGTAAGACAAAGCTGGATAATCTTACTGTCTATAACAGTTGAAATCAAAGCTGCTGAACTACTTATTCATCATTACTTTTTTGTCCAAGGAAAAAGGCAATCAGTAGCAGAAAAAGAAAGGATAAAACAGCAAAGTCTAATATTATCACCAGCATACTTAACTGTCTAAATTTTTAATTTATCGTTTGCTTAGTTTTTGTATATTTGAAAAAATGTGAGAAAACTCGTGCAGACAATTTCCACTGGCCTTACACGTTTATCGTGTGTGTCCTGATCTTGCATACTGCTGTTAGTGTGGGCAGATCCATGTTTTAGACCAGTTTTAGTTGTGACAAGAACTTGCTGAAAACAGGGGAGTGAAGGAAATGTCCTGAATTTTCATTTCCTTAGGGGCAAATCTACGTGGGTGGCTGCAGTCTCAGAGTTCGGTGTTCTTTGTGAGGTGGATGTAAATGAGCTCCAGCCCGGTGTTCAGAGGTCTGCCCGAGCTAAAGAGCACCATCTCTCTGCAGAAGAGTTTGGGCAGGGAGCACTTTGGCTGGAAGCTGCACGCAGCCCTGACCAGACCGCCCTGCACACCAACAAAACTGCCCAGCCAGTCGTGTCCTGGGGCTATCCCAAATCATACCTCGCTTTGGAGATAAGAGTTCTTCTTGAAATCGGGGATTTCAGCACATTTACTTCGAGTTCAGGAGGAGAATTTATGAAAAATTAGTCAAGTTCCTTTGCTAATGAGCCTTGATGACAAAAAGAGCATATTTATTTGCTTTCCCCCCACCCCAACAGGAATTAAATGTAAAGTGATATAGATTACTGATTACAAGTTTTAAAAATCGCCTAACAACTGAATCAAGGAATAAACGTGAGACAAGAATAAGCAGACTTCTTGGTATAAATCTTTACCCCTCTTGAAAATCTGTTACTGAATCAAATTCAGCCGGAGCTTAATTCAGTGAGTTTTGAGCTTTGTACTGGTAAGGCTGATTTGGCTGAGTAGGAGGCACTGACTTCTCTTTAGTTGGCTTATAAAGCAGAACACCTAGCTCTGTATTTTTGTCATTAGAGTGACCTCACAGTCAGAGGATGAGATCTTCAGCTCCCATTGGTTTAAATTACTTTACATTGCTTTTTCTGAAGTCTATTAAGTAAGTATTCAGTTGCCTACATGATCCATACCATATCTGAAATACTATGCCTTTAATTAGCAACTGAAAAAAAGAGAGATATTTCTCTGTAAAAACAGGCTGTTTGTAAAGAGTGAGTGATGCCTCATCTTTGGAACACTTCTTGTACATGCATATGGAGGACAGCAGTAGTCACACTGAAGGATAGGCAGGACTGGGGCTGCAGTTGCTCTAACAAAGAGATTGGAAAGAGAAATAGGTGTTTTTGTAATGCTGACGTTGCAGGTTTGACATGTTTTTTTCCATCATTTGCTCCTGTTGTTGACCAATTGGTTTCATTTCTTGCTTGTAAGAGTAATTGGAAAAAACATCTTGGAAGTATCAAAATGTTCTTACAAAGTTTTTGTAAAGTTTTTGAACCTATAAAAATTGGCTTGGATCTGGATTGCAAGAGAACATGAAATAACTGAAAAAACTTTCTACTCATTTTGAAATTTACTCACTTTCGAGTTCACCGGGTCCTTTTAATCTTTCAGACAAATCTCTCAAACACAAAGAGCAGATAAATGTAAGCCTGCAGCCCTTTTAACTTTATCAGATCAATTGCGTGCTGCTTCAGGTACAGGATGTAATCAAGTATTGCAGCTATACTCTACCCAGGAACTCCTCCTTTTCTTTTTTCCCCTCACCTTTAATTTGAAGGTCAGTTGCTATTTTTTTGGATCAGAACTCTGATTTTGAGCCATACAGCATCTACATGCTATCTCCCCCCTCATGCTGAGTCTTTTTTGTGTCAAAACCATAATCCCTATTCTGCATTGTAACATACCTTCTACCTTTTCAGGCCTTTGACAGTGTTTCTTAAATTCCTGTGCAAAAGCTGATAGTTACTTGTATACCTTAGTGGCCAGAATTAATTTAAAATTATTCTGAAATTTTGGCATGGTTCAAGGACATTGAAAAGTTATTTCAGACTTAATTTTATACATAAGGATACATAAGGTACATAAGGATATTTAACCACTCAGACTATTTTCCTGGGCACCAAGTTATCCTCAATGACTCAAAATCAAGTAGGGAAGTCTGTCTATAAGAAATAAAGGTAGAAGAAGATTCAGAGGCATTCTGTCCCCTTTGCAGCACAGGACATCAGACAGGATGACAAAAATAGTTCTTTCTTGCCTTATGACCTACATAAGGTGTTACGTTTTAAGAGCCCTTTTGTTTTTTCCCCCTGAGAGAGAGAGAGACTGCAAAGATCCTACTGAGCTGAGTAAGAGGGGCAGATTGCAATCTGGTTACCACTGCAGTTCTATGTTGTGCTTTCAGAGGCTGGAAAGTCCTTGACATGCAGCAGTCCTGCCTCCGGTTTCACTGTGGTTTCTACAGCTGATGGAGGATTGTCTTGAACTTTTCTGATGTGATACTAGAACATCGATGTTATTCATAGTGAATATAGCACTAGAGATGTGCTGGGAGCTTTGTAGTAGGGAAAAGCTTAATGAATTTTTTTAAAGCTACCTTTTTGAAAAGTTAATTGTAGCAGTGGTGGTGACATACTGTGGCACCAAACGCAGACGTTTTTATTTTCAGATGACTTTATGAAAGGTACATAGGAATTTTCTCCCTGCTGGTAAATGACGGAAATAGTCCAGCAGTGATTATCCTGCATCTCAGTACTGATTCAGTCCAGATTTCAGTGTGGAAACAGGAGGGAAGCATGAGCATCCTATGTCTTGTATGTTAGAAACTGCCACATGTAAAATGCACATTACTGCAGTATTATACAGTTAACTAGCAGGAGTGGATAATGAGAAGGTTTTTGCATGCCTGCTCCTCTTGGAACAACTTTTTCATAGTTGGGATTTTTTTTGCTTTCAGCCATAAATAGGAAGGCAGGGAGGGCATGTATTGTGCACATGCAAAGTGTTTCAGCTGTGATGGAATGGGTTCAAGAGCGGGGTTGACTGGAGTGAAGGAAGCTAGCAGGGCTCAGTAATGTGGTAAAATCGAGGCAATCCCTCACTATCAGCGTTTTATCAACAATATAACCTTAAATATTCCATTCATCACTGATTCATCACTTTAATGTTTATCATGATCCTTTAATACCTTGGTTGATTAGATCTATAAGCTGCTGTAATACAAAGAACTTAGCCCAAGGCAAATTAGAAGAAAAATTAGAGGAGGAGGGGGAAAAGCCCAACATTGATAAAAGGGTTAATTAAGTGAATTGAAAGGGAAGGTAATGTTTGCTTTTTAAAAAGTGGGTAATTTTATGTTCAGCATAATTTGAAAGTGGTGCATAACCCATAACTGCCTTGGAGTATTACTGCCTTGGACTGAGGAAAGAAAATAAAGTTCTAAATAATATATGTAAAGCAAATAACTTACCAGTATGGTATGTTATTAGTAATTTTAGATGTGTTTTTGAGGCATTGTCTTTTATTAAAAGCTGTTAAAAATGTATGGTGATTAGAAACTGTGGCAAGGGGGGAAAAAAGCTTTGTAGGCTTTCAGAGTTGGGTATATGAAAGAAAGCACACAGTTTATCATAGTTCTAATCCAGCAAAATCCTAGGTGGGAATTTATTACATATCCTTGTGGGAGGATAGGTAGGGGAGGTATTTACTGGATTGGGTAGTATGTGTTGATGAAGTACATTGAACTAACAAAATGCCTATTAATATAGAATTTATTCACTGTAAAATCTCTATCTGAGGAGTCATTGTAATGTGGCCAAAATGTTTTTTAACAATCATAATGTTTAAAAATAATTTTTAAAGTCTTTCCAAATTGGGCAAAACAGTGTAGGGTTGTAGTTTAATTTTCTGTATGTTTCTTGTGAATTCAATGTACTGATTGAAACCTAAGGAGAGCAATGTGGAATAAATGGCCAGAATGTAAAACTGAGATTCATGTTTTAGGAAATAGATGAGGCTTTCCTTTAGCTTTTTTGGTCAGTACTTCTGCCATTTGCATGCCAAGTTTAACAAAAGAAAGTGATGATCTGGTACAGTTAGTTTGCCATTTGTATTTCATGAAGAAGTGTACACGCGTTTCTCCTATGTAAACTTGATTGTACTTAACTGACAGAAAATACTCACATGGAATCATTACTCGTTCCATTTTAAAAATAGTAAGCAAACTATCCCACACTTTTTATATTTATTTACAGATCTGCAATTATGTTGGACCTGCAAAAGTAATTGTCCAGTTAGTAACTAATGGGAAATACGTCCACTTACATGCTCACAGCTTGGTGGGTAAATTCTGCGAAGACGGAGTGTGCACGGTTACTGCAGGACCCAAGGACATGGTTGTGGGGTAAGTCTGGGGACTCCTCTGGAAACCTGAGCTGTGGGGGAAGCATCAACACTGTAAAAAGCAATACAGAAATAACCCAAAGAGGCCGCTCTGTGGAGCACTCATCTCTGTGCTCTGATCTCTGGGGTTTTTTGTATCATAAATAGAAAATTTAATGGTGTTTTTGTTCACCTTTGTAGAATTTACCCAAAGCTAGCTAAATAAATGTAAGTAACTAATTTTTACTTAGAATTTGTACAGTTTTAATCTCCTGATGTGCAGTCCAAATTTGTATTGTAAATCCATTCTTTAAAACATGAGTGGTTTTGATCACAGAAGGGACTAAAATTAGTGGTACCATTTTGTTACCTCTTTGATCAATATTTTACTTTTATTGAAACCTGTCAATAGGAATGTAATGAAAAGCATTAAGAAAATAGGATTAGTAAATTTGAAATTAATGCAGGACAGTATAAACCTGAAAATAATGCATAAGTCAAACTTTTAAAGTTTAAAGCAGAAAGATTGTAGTGAAATTGTAGTTGGCCTGTTCTTGTTTAATTTGAATGAATAATTGTTTATATCGGTAAATGGAGCTGAAGCTCCCAACCATGTTTTGAGGCTTAGATCAGGTTTCATGCTGGCTGTGAGTTTTAGTTCTGTGATCTCAAGAATGTCTTTGTTGGTGAAGATGATGAAGTTTAAAAAGCTGAGAAGGTTGGGAGAGAAAGATTCTTTTAAACTGTAACTTTTGATGTCCAAGCCCAGTGCACTGACTTTACAGCGCAAAACAATTTAAATAATTTTATTTCAAATGCTCCTTTTCATCTTGAAAAGTTTGGCTCATTTTCTAACCTGTCTTGTTTTTCATCAGATGTTTAAAACCAGCTTTCCTGTCCTCACTTGACCCACATGAAAACTGAGTTATTGTCTTGTTTTCATACTCCCAGATCTAACTGATTTTTCAATGTGCCCGGAGATTTTTACAAAAGCATGCCTTGTATTATGGACTACAATTTCATTTAAATAGATACCCAAAGTGTCTCACAGAATGACCAAAGCCTTGCTTAAAACATTTTATTAGGAAAATATTGCACGGTTTTCAGCTTCTTAGCTTGCTCTCCAAACTATTTCCAACAGATGGAGCATACTCTGAGCAGTTGCTCTGCTTAACAGACATACAGAATGATGTCATTGCCAAGACGCAGCAAACAAAGTGTGACTACCAGATTTTCCAATGTTTTGCAAAGTGCTTTCCCAGTGGAAGTCTGAAATCTGACAGATTACTACTTAAGCTATAAGAAAGTGCACCCATATGATCGCTGTCATATAAAGGTGCACATTTTGCACGTTTTGTGGTCATGACTGAATTTTTCTCGATGGAAAATTCTCCCTCAAACACTAATAGTGCCCAAGTAAGCCTGTAGAGTCCTTCTGTAGACTTGGGTTGTGTAGCTGCCCCTGGTAAAAGAAAGGCTGCCTGCTCCAGGTCTGGCCTAAAAGAAAATTAAGAAAATGAAAAGAAAATTAAGAAAATACTTACCCCCATCAAAATTTGGCAGGTTTGCAAATCTTGGAATACTTCATGTCACAAAGAAGAAGGTGTTTGAAACTCTGGAAGCACGCATGATAGATGCTTGCAAGAAGGGATACAACCCAGGACTCCTGGTGCATCCAGAACTCAGCTATCTACAGGCAGAAGGATGCGGAGACAGGCAGCTAACTGGTATGTGGAAATGAGGGCCTGGTTTTAATTGGCCTTTTACTAAAAACAGGCTGAGCTTCTGAAAACATAGATTCCTAGCTAGAAAAGGACCTTGTGTAGGACAACAGCCAATGTCTGTGTGCTTTTAAGAGGTGGTGCATTGTTACCATGTTTTAGGGAATCCGAAAGGAGTCTGCTGTCAATGCATACGTGAGAATGGAGAAACTTCCTTCCACAGTTGCCTGTACCAACCTCTGTACCTGTATTCCATTGCACTCATGCTGTTTAATAAGCTCTCAAATAGAGTAATCTTGCATTATTGCAGCAATGTAGGGACACATATTGAGAAAGCAAGAATATTACAGCCTGAAAAATATTCCAGGCTGGAGCTTTTCAGCTCTGTTCCTAGCTGATAAGCTGGTCCAGCTCAAGGCTAGGGAGAATTTCTCCCAGGGTGATAATTTGGTCAAAATAAAAATAAATTAATAACAAGACAGAACACCTGTTGTGGTGTGTGACCAGGCCCTGCGAATGGGGTGTCTTTTCTCTGAACCAATCATCTTTTCTCTACTCTTTAATTGCGAGTCATGCTATAAAACCAAGTGTGTTTCTGAATAAACTTGTCTCTTTCTTTCTATCATGAAAGATGACCATATAGCTGTGCATCTTATTTCCGCCACACTTAAAGGGTTAAAACCCCTTTCCGTGGGTACACAGCAAGACATGATATCCTTAATTTACTTAGGGACCTCCTTTTGAGAATACTGTTTCATTCAGCTGCATTTCACCCGTATCACTGCAAAACTTGTGGTCTGCGTTGCTTTCAGGTATTGTAGAGAGGGGCCATCTGTCTTTTCATCACTCTTAACACCAGGAATTCTGATGTCCTTAGTGGTGGCCTTCATCCTTTTCACAACCTTTATAAATTGAGAGCAGAAAATAGTAATTTTCTGTCTTTTAATTGTATAACTTAAATACGTTGATGCACAAACTGCAAGATGAACACAGTATAATTTGAATAACTGCTCCGCTCTGCTTAGAAAGGGAAAACCCAATGGCTGCTAAATGTAAAAGAAGACATTTCCTCACTCTCCCTGCCTTTGTTTGTTTGATCTCTCTGTTTTGTTAAGGATGCCCTATCTTTTGCTTAAATTCCTCTGTCAATTCCAGAACGGGAGAGAGAAATCATCCGCCAGGCAGCCATCCAGCAGACCAAGGAGATGGATCTCAGCGTGGTGCGGCTCATGTTCACAGCCTTTCTTCCCGACAGCAACGGCAGCTTCACACGGAAACTTGACCCCATTATATCAGATGCAATATATGACAGCAGTAAGTATACTTGGCTTTAATTACTTTTTTGATAAGGGGCAGGCTTTTGTACACACAGAAATGACAGGTAGATATTGCTGTACATGGACTCATCCAGCCCTGCCTGCCCAGGATTTGATGAGTAAGTAGCCCGTGGATAATTAAACCTATGTCTGTCCAAGTACATATAGTATCATTCTGGTTTTAATAGATGGTGATGTAAGCCATAGAGGAAGATTTTATTTTGCTGTTAGCATGTTTAATTCTACCACTTTTATTATGAGGATTTTGTAAGTTCTTCTTATATCCATAAGAAGGGCTTGAATTTTGCAGAATTTTCAGTTGCTTTCTATGACAAAGCATTTGTTACACGAGATGTGAGAAAAAAAATTACTTTGCTTCTATCTTAGTTGAGAATTTGACACCTTTCAGTTTTGCAGACCATCTGCTTGTCCGTACTTTAAAAGATAATGCAACCAGAGTTCTCAATCAATTTCCTTTAGATCTGTCAGTATTTTTAGAGCATTCCTCCATTTGTCTTTTTTCTAAGAGAATTTTTTCATTTCATGTTTTCCCCCGTACTGTTAAATTATACTGACTCATCTTACTTGAACCCTTTTTTGCTGCCTGAGTTTTCCTTCCTGAGGCTGTGGATTCCCATGGTCTTGATAGTCATTCTGTAATGACTCAGAAAAAGTACCTTTTTTTTTCCTTTCTTTGTGCACTAGTCATGTCTATATTATTGCTTTTTAAGTCTAGATCAAAAGGTATTAAATGCAGCTGTTCTACTATAGTCTGTGCCTTGCTGTTAATTGGGAAATGTTGTGAGGTCAAAAATTTTGTCCTAAACTAGGGAGACAAACAAAGGGGACATTTTGTACACATGTTTCTGCTGCTGTAAGTTGCTACACAGATGTTAGTCACTAGTTTCTGATCGCCCAAGGTGAATTCTTGATTGCTAATTTCAGAAGATTTTTCTTGGGTTTTGTTTGGGGTTTTTTTTGAATACTTCATTGGCACCATTCAAGCCTTCACAGAACAGACATAACTTGAGATAGCATAACTTGCCTGTCACAGCTGCTTTCACTTATCCAGATGGTAGTTCTGTCTTGAGGACCAACAGTTGTCTATTGATGCCTCTACTAGGATCTGTGGAAGTGGGCTTTTTTATCATTGTCCAGTACACTGGCCAAAAACTGGCATACTTTCAAGTAAGCCACAGTGTAAAGCAAAGCACTGTAGATAGTGAGAAACAGGAAACAGTTCTCAAGAGCTCTGTCAGAAAGCAGGGAGGAAAAAAATTACACTGTCTTGTACAGCCCTGTTGTCATAAAATGAGTACTAGTGCAGGATGCTGGATGCAGTTCACTGCTGGGTTACCTTGCTAGTGCAGTAATTGCACGGCAGTGGCTTAGTTCACAGTTCAGTCAAAGCTTAGAAGATACAGGATTGTCTTTCAGATGAAAAGCTCTTGATGTATTCATGTTTAAAAAAAACACAGACAAATTCAGGTAGGTTGTATTGGAAGCTTGTCTTTCTATTGCATTTCTGTGTGTTGTGCTTGGTTGGGTTTTTTTTTTTAAGACTAAATCTGTTACAAAAGTAAGCAGGTTTTTTTCATCTTCCCTTTCAATAGAAGCTCCCAATGCCTCCAACCTAAAAATTGTAAGAATGGACAGAACAGCAGGGTGTGTGACAGGAGGGGAAGAGATTTACCTGCTCTGCGACAAGGTTCAGAAAGGTAAGAGTCACGAGTGTTATAAGGCACACCAGGGTGTTCACAGGGAGTACACATGAAGCCTGCTGTGCTGTCTTTAGTGTTATTCCACTCTGGTAGTGCAGCAGGATTTGTAAGCACTCAGTTTTTCTGGAAGTCAAGGCAGCAGTCCAGAGATTTAATAAATCAAAATAATTTATTGCATAGCAAATTCAGCTTCTCTTGCCTCCACAGAGATCATGTGATCATCTTTGTTCTTCTCAAGTTTCTGCCCTTGCCCATGTTCATGGAATTTTGGGGGCTGGTGGATACTGGGTGATGTTTGACTCTATTAACTAACACCTGCTCTGAATTATTCTAAAGTTTCTGATTTATTATCAAGTTCGTGATTGTAAAGAGTAAGTATGAGTATTCTCTGTTAACCATGGATGGGGGCTTAATGTGTTCAGCACTGCTGCTAATAGCTTAATTTTTATGTATACACTTATGGTAGAGGTTACTTTAGTGTAAACAGAGTAAGGTTCATTTTCAGTCTCTGCTCACGGCTTTGAATGTTTGTGAATTCAGCAGTGTGGATTAGGATACTTTGGTTTTTTATTGGAAGGTAATGGTTAAATGTGGTTGGTTATATTTGGGCTAAGTAAAAAGAAAAAAGATGGGAGAGGGAGATCTTTGTATTTTTCAGCTACAGGTAGTACTTGAGACACCCTGGTGTAGATTACATGGTAGAGTGGATGTTGCCCACATGGTGAGCCCTGTTCTCATCTGTTTGGAATCAGTTCCTGCTCATGTTGTTAAAACCACAGTGACATTTTTGTTGTGGCTGGCTGTCCTTTTCCATCTCTCTTTCTTGTAAATGCCCTTCTACCACTTAGGGAAGAGAGAAGGCTTTTGGGGGCTTTTAGGGACTTTGAAAGAACTATTTTCCTTTAATAGTGCATCTACCCTCTGCCATCAGGAGGACTGAGATAAAACGTAACTCTTACGCACAAAATAAATAAATAAATGTCTGACTCAGTGGAAGCCCTGAGGTGGGGTTTCCCCTCAGCCAGACTGGGGTTTCCTCTGACCTCACTGCCTTCAGAAATCTCCTGCCTGAAGGAACTTGAGCATGCAGGACAGCAGGACTGGAAGTGGTGGTTCACAGTCTTGAGACTAGCAGGTGGGGGACCAGGGGAAGCAGTCTGTCTGACAGAAGCCTGTTCTGCATCAGTCGCCCTAAGAGACAATAGGCTTTTTCTAGCTTTTTCTCACTGGGAGTGCTGTGGAAGGAATTTACTTGTGGGATACTTTTCCTAAAAATATAAATAAATACAAAGAGAAAGAAAGAAAAGCTGTTTAGAGGAGCAGAAGCCAAATGCCATGTTTCTAGCCTGTGCCGTTTGGAGGGTGAGGGATCCCTACTGACACACTGCTTGCTCACAGCCCCGATGTCTCTGAGCTGCAGCTCCACCGTGGCACTCTGCCAGCAGCAAGAGGAACTTGAACTGTGGTGCTTCAGGTTTTGCTACAGTTTTTTGAACTGAAACTGTTGGAGGAGAGAGGGTGGTTTCTACATTTCACGCTTTGAGTTCTCCCCTCCTTACATGTTTGTTCCAAATAAAGCTCCTCTGGAATGTTTTATAACCCTAGAATAGGAAGATGATGTGAACCTAGTTCTCTTTTTACAGCTCAGTAAATAGCAACTTCAGTGAAGCCATTAGGATTAGGCTGATGTAAACTTGATACCGAAAATGGGTTTTTTCTGCTGTTTTCATAAAGCAGATAAAGGTAATTGATGTATTGTGTAGTATTTTCATCCAGCCTAAAAGTAACCATGTTGATTTTTATTTGAAATAACCATACCCAAAGGTAAAACAAATGCACAAACATCCCAGAGTGTTTCTTTCATTCTTTGCAGATGATATTCAAATACGTTTCTATGAAGAGGATGAGAATGGTGGTATGTGGGAAGGCTTTGGAGATTTTTCTCCTACAGATGTACATAGACAGGTAAGTAACAGAGAATTGGTCCTTTGTCAATGATTCTCCCATCTCTGTAAACTAGGATTCTATTATAGTTTGTAAATTATGTAAAAGCATTTGTATCCTGTAGACCTCCTCTTTGGTTTGTTGCTTCCTAATAATAATAATACTAAAAACTTAACAGTTCTTTAAAGACATCTGTTAGGTAACTAGGATACAGTGCAAGGAAATTAGGAGAAAGCCCCATTGCTTTAACATGCACCCCCTGTAAATTGGGATAGGATATATAAACAGCTCTGAGAGCTCCTGTGACACACTGAGAAAGCCACAGAAGAGATGCTAAAGGATGAGGGGACAGACAGTGCAGTACTGACATGTGGGATGTGGTGGCACTTAGCATGGCAGTTCTGTCTTTCCCAAAAGGCTTTAGGAGTCAACCTCAGAAGTGAAACTGAAAACTAAGTTTATTGTTGTAACAGTCCTTTGCTCTGAACTTCTACCTCCCAAGCCCTAAACCAGCACCTTCAAAATAGTGCAAATGTAAAAGCCAAGTTGTCAAAAGCTATGCTCTATGATAGATATGCTTATCTTCGTTTTCTTCACAGTTTGCTATTGTGTTCAAAACACCTAAATACCGAGATGTCAATATCACAAAGCCAGCATCTGTATTTGTACAACTGCGTAGGAAATCTGATCTAGAAACGAGCGAACCAAAGCCTTTTCTCTACTATCCGGAAATCAAAGGTAACTCATTAAACCCATTTTATAGATTGGGAATGGAAACCGTAGGGTCCCTAGGAATGTTTTTAATAAGACAGAACTGGTTGGGTGAGGAATTTTTGGTTTTAGTCAGTATTTTTAGAAAATATATTTGCCTCTTTGTTTTGGGCAGAGTCAATATGCAGTGTGGTAGGTTTATAATGGGTTTTGTAGGTGGTGGTGCAGGACTGGTAGGCAGTAAATCCATGCATATATTCCGAGTGAGGCTTGTTCCTTGCAGATTCCCTGTATGCACACATGCCTGCCCATACAGTAGATGGCACTCTTCCTCTGAGTTTCTGCCAAATAATACCTGAAGAGATTTTACTGTCAGTACTTTCAGATAAAACCCTAAACCAAAACCTGTTTGGTGCCTGGTGGAAAAGGTACATATTTTGCAGTTCTCACCTTTTACCATCGTGCCAATGCCACTGATGTTTCTGAATTTGCCAAGTACCTGTACTAGTGAAGTAAGCCCAAGACATTTCTTGTGAGAGCAGGGAAAGTGCTGTTTCAGTCTCTTGTTTAAACTTTTAGTTGCTTAGCAGAAGTAGAATAGTCGGTATTGGACCTGCTTCTAAATTATTAGTGAAAAGAAGTTTAATCAGCAGATCTGTGGCCTTTGAAGTCTGCATCTGAACTGTTTGACAGGAATGGCATTGGCAGTCATGGTTTTAAATACCAATAATGTTGATGATATGGAAATGCCTCGAGGCCCAAGTCATAATTGGTGTTTCATTGTACTAAGATTATCTTTCTGCTTAGCAGTTTACCTGCCTGCCGGTTACACTACTGAATTCTAATCTTGAATGTTTTCTGTGCCTAAGGTAGAGCTGTGTTGAAATCAATTCCCTGTCAAAGTCTCTAAAGTAAATGTGTAGTAGTGGTGAGAGACTTAGGACAGCTGAGGAGGCAGTGGTGGTGGTCCAAGTGAGCCTGCTTCACAACTGCTAGAACAAAATAGCAGAAAGCATAAATTCACAAAAGCTTCCAGAGTTGCCAGAGGATTTCTTTGTGGTAATAATTTCAGAAACCTCTTGCACCGTTGTTAAGGGAAGTGAAGTGTTCAGCTGCAGAGCAAAGTTGCCAGATTTGAAGCAAACCTCGTTTATATGCCTCTTAATCGAGTAAAATTAATTCAACATTATGTGCGTTTTCAGATCCCCTATACAACCTCATCATGAAATTACCATTTAGGAACTATATTTTTCCCTTGTTGCAAATGTTCCCACAAACTTAGACCCATGTATGTGGATTTTTTGTGTTTCTCTGACTAGATTGCTCTCTAGAGTTTTCTCTCCTCGTGAGTGTGAGTATACCTGATGTGTGCATGCATACATACTTACACATCATGTGTACCTGGAAACAATGCACGTGGCTTTGTCGGTGTGCTGTCTCATGTATTCAGCTGTCTCATCTGATGCACTGACTGATGTGCCTGTGCATGAAATTTCTTTTTGTCATATGGCTGTTGAAAACTTCTAGATGGTTTAATATTTGGTATTTTTTTCTTTTCTCAACTGGATTGTACTGGATTCAGTTCAACTGGATTTTAACCCATGTAATGTCTGTATCCGTATTTTTGTAGTTCTTGTTGTGACTTTCCTCAGTCATTGGGATAGTCCTTTTAAATATTTGTGTTTTGCTTTCCAGGTGAACTATGTCTTATTTTGTACTTACACTATAAAAAAAGTTTAGTCTTCTTTTTTGCTCGGGCTACTCAGCATGGTTTGACAGCAATATGTCCCTGCCTGAAAATAAGCTGTCTTTGTTCTAATGGCTGTTATGGTATTTTAAGTAAATCATTTCAAGCAAGCTCAGTTTTCACCATTTCTTGCCATCCCATAAAAAATAGTTCAAAGGGCAGTGCAGGTACTCTGTACTGTTGAAACTCAAAAGTGCCTTGTGATCCTCTGATAAGGTTCCATTTCTGTAAGAGATTTGCTTAGAAGAGCCTGTGCTTATATTCCCCAAAGGCAAATTTTCTTCAACAAATTTGAGGTTTGGAGTGCTTGTGCTGATTCAGGACTAGGCTTAGACATTGAAGAATTTTCGGTCCACTGATCTCCAGAGCTCTAAGTACACGAGACACTTTTGAAGGAAGCTCTGAGCCCCCCAAGACATCTCTGCACATGTCCCCTGAGCACAAGGCAGTGATGCAGCTGAAGAGACCAAGCAGGCCCAAGCTGTGCTGCTGGTCTGACTGGGGACTTGGCACTGGCTTGTTTCTCAGAGGCATTCTCTCTGCTCCAATAGATACAAAGATTTTCTGCTATTTGGAGCTTGAGGAAAGTTGACTCTTCTACCACACTCTGCATTTTCCTTTATAAACTAGTAACTGTAGTGATGCTTTCTGTATGCACACCCTGTGCTGTGCCTGCCACCAGCAGGACTGAATCCCTATTCTCTCTGTTCCTTCTATCCCAGATAAAGAAGAGGTGCAAAGGAAACGACAGAAGCTCATGCCGAATTTCTCCGATGGCTATGGTGGAGGCAGTGGCACTGGAGGTGGTGGCATGTATGGAGGGGCAGGTGGCAGTGCTGGCTCTGGTAAGGCAGCAGCTTTGGGCAAAGAGGGAAATGGGTTCTACTTTGAGAGCAGGACAGATGTTTATGCTGACTTTTAAAATGTAAAGATTTTTTAAAATGTAAGATTTTGTCTCCTAGGCATATAAGATCTGACTCTGTTGCCTTTATTCTACTGTTACTCAATTTAGTCAAGCATCTCCTTATTCTAAACACTTCATCATCCCGTTTGCCTTCCCACTTTGGAAGCTTTGTTCTTCCTAGGGCCTTGGAGGCACTGAAATTCATGAGACAGCTCAGTTAACTATCATTTTGTGTGTGTAAAATTAAACAGGTTCTGAATTGTTTCTTGGACCATGAGTGGAATTTGGCAAATTACAAATTGATCCTGTTAGTGCAAAGAACTGCTAAAAAATTGGAGATACTCTTTAGTATATTTTCTACTGTTATACTGTTAGTATATTTTCTATCTGTTGAAGTCAGAGTGTATCTGATATGCAGGATCATGAGAGCATTGCTTTGGTTCTTGCAGCAGAGCATTAAAAACCTATAGGTCAGCAAATGTCACCTGAACCACAGCCCTTTTTTAGAGCAAGGAATAGAGCAGCAGTTTTCAAATTGCTACACGTGTTGCTGGCAGCACATGTATAGCATAACACCAGAATACAAATATGTTGTATCACGAAGATTCAAAAGCACAGAGGCAGTTTGTGATGTCTCAGCTGAGTTTTAGAGGAAAGACACAGCAATACTACATTTGTGTTGTATTATGGATGTTGGGACAGAGAGTCCTAGCCAACCATCTAGAATTTCTTTGGATTTTTGAAGGGGTAGGGGAGAGCTAACCTTTAGCCTGGAAAATTAATTGGATGGAATAAAGCAGAAGGTATGCAGAAAACAAAAACTCAGTTCTTTAAGATTCAGTGTTTTTCTAGATGGTGTTCTCATTGTTTTAGGATGTAATTCTATTACTTCTTAATCTTTTTCCTTTCTTTAGGGTTCAGTTTTCCTTCATATGGATACTCTGCTTTTGGAGGGATGCATTTCCATCCTGGCACAACAAAGTCCAATGCTGGCATGAAACATGGTAACAGCGTATCTTTCTTCCAGCAGTTGAATTGAGTTTGACCTGTGTTTTCTTCTACAGTATGAGCCAGTGTCAGGCAGGTCTAAGCTGGAGAGGGCCTCTTCTCAAACCTCTGGTAGCAGAGGGTTTTGTGTAGCTTACACTGCCGTGCTTCTCTTTTTTCCTCTCCAAGTGTAGTTCCTTCTTACTGTGGAGTCCTGAGAAGCAGTCACCAAAGCCCCTCCGTGTGCTTCTGTATTCAGGGTATTGTTTCAAGCAGCAGCCCTCTTGCTTGCTTGAATGTGCTGATTACACATGACCCAAGGACTAGAACACAGAAAATATATCTTTCTTTGTTGCCACAGTCTGGTACTACCCTGTAGCCCAGAGAAATCAATGGAAAAGATTAAGCTAATAATAAGGACACTCTTGGCTTCCTAAAATAGGAAGGTAATTTCTGATGATTACTCCATAGATATTTCCAGAGTGTCGGGGATTAATTTGCTGTTAAGAATAAGAAAAGTGTCTGAGTAATTCTGCTAGATTTTGTGTGAGTACTTCAGACTTGCATTCTTGTACCATGAAAAAAGAGGTAAATCTGTTGTAGTATATAAAAGTTTATTTCTAAAGTAGAGGCTGTCAAAAATTTAATATCACTTTAGAGCAAGTCACATCACTGTGTCTGTCCATGTGTGCTGACATCTGGAATATTGTGATTCATGAGTTTAGTGATAAGTTTTACATTGAAGTAATTTTTTGTATTAATTTTTCAGGGTTTGCTTTGATCTAGTTGAGTTTTATTGTCTGTATTAAAGAAGCCACAATACTGGACATTAATGATTCTACTTTTTCTCAGAAGGTTTATCAAATTGCACAGCTGAACAAGACAGAAAGAGTTGTGATAAACAAAGTGACAAATGGGACATGAAATGTGATGTGAAGGAGGAAACTGTGGAGAGGACTGAGTGCAGGACGTCCTGTTCTGCTGTTAATGAGAAAAAGGAGGATTCCGTTTTTTCCTGTAAGACTGAAGTAAGCGAAGCAGATTGCAGGTGGCAGGGTAAGTGAACAAGTAAATGTATTTAGGGTAAATCAAACTACAGTACTGCAAAGCAAGCATTAAAGGTTTGGAAACTCCAAAAATGTCTGCTTGCTGTTTTCAGAACATGGTAATGTCTCCTGGAGGAAACAGGACGGATTCCATTCCCCAAGATCCAAGGTCCCTCCCCATACCTAGTTCTTCAGATAACCTTCCACCTCTGTACTGCCACTAGACCTTGCTTGTCATGCTAGGAGATGAGACAGCTTTGCCTGCTGGGCATGTTTAACACTGCCTTTGAATAATCGAGGAAGGAATGCTGCAAGCAGTGAAGGCACAGGGAATATTACTCAGCAGTTGACTTGGCTTTTGGTATTTGAGAGACTTCAGTGGATGAGTTAAGGGATGTTAGTATGACTTGCAGCAGGTCTTCCCTGCAACAGTGTTGAATTGTGTGCAAAGTAGCATTATAGGTTTAAATTTAAAATTTAAAGGTACCTGTTACCATTTGGCAAATGCACAGTAAAATAACTACAGTAGCAAAGTGTTACACGTCAAACTAATGCCTAAAAATTTTTGCTTTTCTAATATATTTGTAGCTTTGTAGATCATGAGCTTATACAGTTCTTGGAATTTTTCCTACCCTTCCTCTTTGATTTTAGAGTAATAAGTTAACCTTCTAACACTCCTGAAATACTGTTTAGTCTTATTTTCAAGTAGAGGACCTGCAAGAAGAACATTTTGTTTTCCAGTCTTAGAAGACATAAAAAGAAGTGGGGCAAAGAAGCCCAGGACCAACTCCAGTGGGGCAGTACCTGGGGGAAAAATTACCTAACCAACTGCTCTCCTAATTGGACCACGTTTGTTAGATAGGACAATTTGTTAAACTTACAGAAAATGTAGCAGTCTGTTACTGGGTGTGCCCATAGCCCATAACTATGGACACACCTGGAAGCTTCTAATAAAGACCTGCTTTTTTATCTCACCATTTTAATACTGTTGCAAGGGGTTTTGTCTTTTTATTTCAGGCAACAAAACGAAAGGAGGAGGAAGGCAAGGGTAGTCAACAGAACTGGTTTAGCAGCAGAGTTCTAAAATATATAAAGACTATAAATCACCCTTTCCCAGACAGCAAGATGTGCATTTCCTGGATTGTTTTTTAAATTATTTGAGTAATTATGCTTAGCATAAAATAAAGTAAACAGTAGTGGGATTAGAGAGACATAGTAGTGGTAGGAATTCAGCACAAAGGAATTTCTTGGTTCTGGCTTTTACCAAGTGCAACATGATCTAGACTTTTGTTATTCTCTGGATCAGGGAGAGAGCACATTACCTTGTGTTGTCAGCCCTGTCTCTGACACTTGCTATTAACAGGACTAGAAACTGTGGCTTGGAAATCCAAAGTGGCACAGGAGATGGGCTGTAGTTGTTAAACACCTCCACAGTGTAGCTATGAGATTCTGAGAATGGATGGTGCTCTAGAGAAAAACTGAAGCAACCTGCTGTTTGCCGTTTTGGTTGTGATAAATCCCGTGACTGGTTCAGAGAACAAAATCTTGAACTGATATGAAGAAATAATAATGTCCACTTAGCTGTTGTGAAGGAGGGGTCTGAATTGTTTACTTGTTTTCCAAGCAATTAAGATTGTAGGCAGGAAGGTGACTTTTTTTTTCTATTGTAATAGCATGAAAGGAGGCAATTTCTAACTCCAGATTAGACAAAAAATTGGTGCAGAAGAATAGGGTCCATAAAATAGCTACTGCAGGCTAGATCATTTGGGTATTAGCCTAAAGATGCATGTAATATTTTGAAAGGTATCTTTCCTGTGTGTTTGATATGGAAAACAAAGGAGTTCCAACATCCAGTTCTCTAATCTTTGGAAATGTATATAATGACAAAGAATTAATTGCTTAACACTCTTTACTGTGAATATAACACATTTAGTATTAAGAGGTAAATTGCAAATACAAATTCATCTGCCCAGGCATATAGTACAGCAGTCACAGGGATGTACTGGCCAGAACAATAAGCTTCATGGATAGCTGAGTAAGTCTTTGCCTTACAGCAATGATATGTTCGTGTTCATCAGGGATATGCTTCTGACCCAGTCTAAATGCCCGGTTTTGTGTGGCTGGAAATCCTGGCTATTGTCTCCCCATGTGTGCTTTAAATTACACAGTCTGTTGTACTTGTTTGCATTTTGTAATTCCCAACCTTACGAAGCTTTATAGAAACATGAAACTGTTCAAAATACAGGCTGGTTTCAGATGATACTGCTTCACAGAATGACGCTGTATTTCAGAGCTCATCTGTTTGATTTTCACTAGTTTCTTGCTGATACAGAACCACAGAAGTATTGACAGAGCAGCTAGAGTTACTTTTTTCTGCAAATGAGTTTCTTTTCTCCCTTTTCTCCCTTTTGCCTCCCCACCATGACAACTTCTGCTTTTTGAAGTCTCAGTGGCTGCCCATTTTATAATTCTAAAATAAGCATACAAATACTAAGCATTGTAAAAAGTTAAACGTTTTAAACAGAAGAACAGACACTCTGTGCTGCTGCTGTAAAGCAGGCTAGACTGCATGATTTGAGTCAGAGAAGGAGTGCAAAGCCCGGCATTTATTCAATATATTTTCCCTGAGCTTCTCTGCAATATCTGATGGGTCACTTAGGCTTCCTGTGCCTCAGCTTCCTCAAGGCAAAACTACTCGGACCTGCAAGTTCCAGATCCAAGTTCTGCTCCTTTTGTCTCACTGCACACAACTGCATATCAGTGCTGTTAATTCAGTGCCAGTCAAACCACAGGGGGCTTCCAGATTTGACTGTTCTCAGGGTTTCTGCTGCCTGAATGCTCAGCATGCCCCTAGTTTTCTTTCCCAGGCATTTGTTCCCTCTGTCCTTACCTCTCAGAAGTAATTAGTAACCATCTTCATCATAGTGAAGCAGTGAATAATGCTTGGTGGTCTGCACTTTCTAATTCTGTGACAGCACAAATGCCTGTCAAAAGTAAGTCGTGTTCCAAGGGAAGCAGCCGAGCTGATGAAGAGGAAACTTTGTGTTGCAGATGCTCTGTTCCTGGAGAAGGCCATGCAGCTTGCCAGGCGCCACTGCAACGCTCTCTTTGATTATGCTGTAACCGGAGATGTGAAGATGCTGCTGGCAGCTCAGCGCCATCTCACCGCTGTCCAGGATGATAATGGGGACAAGTGAGTTAACCACACTGCACTTACTGGGTTGAAACCAATGGGTTGGAGGGCAGAATGGTGTAGTCAATTTGTTCTGTCCTGTCCCTCATGGGTGCCAGTCACTGATAGTACCACTTCTCCTTTCTGTGGTTGGGGATAGGTACAGCTACAGTGATTTAGACAATTCTGTTTCATTTGCAAAGAAGTCATGTACATCATAAACTTCACTGATCTAGTACCTGTCAGAAAGCAGTCTGGTCATTGAAGGTATGTTGAGCATGTTGTGAGTTTGAGTTTCTTTCCCTTTTTTTACTTAAAATCTTGACTGAGCATGAATTGCTGTGCTTGCATCATGATATACGGTATGGGGGTCCTCAGCTTGGTGCTGAAGGAGAATGCCCTGCTTTTTATTCCATGCAAGTCCTTAAGTCTTCATAGGATGCTTCAAGTAAGAGATTCACCAGAAGATGTAGAAACAATAACTGGAGAATCCATATTGTTCTTTCCAGAGGACATTATTTTGCTCTCTTACATCTGTACTGTACTGTTGTCTTCCAAGGAATTGCACAGATGTTTGTGGCAGAGTTGGCTGCTAATACTTGCATATCAGTCCTTCAGTAATGTGAGCTGGAGTGGAAATCTACTTTGTTCCTCTACAGCCATGCAAATTCTATGGAACTCAAGAGTGAAGTGCTGTGAGGAACTAATGATCAGTAGTTACTTAAAATGAAATTCAGCAGAAGCAGCTGTGAACAAATGCAAGGAGAATCTCTTGAATAAGCAAGTGACACTATCACGTCCTCACAGTTTAGCTGGCAGGCCCTGTGCAATCACCTACGTTTCCTTAAACTGTAGTGTTTTGAACAGTAGAAGCCAGATAAACCTCCAGGTGTCTAGCTAGAAGGAAAATTTCAAGTGACCGAGACCTGTATCCCACTGTTCAATTACTCTGAGAGAAGTTACCACTTCCACTCCATTTTCAGTGAAAATAGACCTCAGATTACAGACAGAGGACTGCACAGAGAGAGCTACTTTACTAGCTTTGCTTTCCAACTGGAAGCCTAATGCCTGCTTTGAGATAAGTAGGCATATGAAGAAGGTGGGAGCTAGCAACAAAATGTGTAAGTGCTATGGACAATACAGCTTCTGTGTTTAAAAAAACAAAGGGAGGAGTTAGAGGAGTATTGAGCAAGTAGGCCCTGCATTTAAATACCAAAACGGTGCTCCTCAGATTTGGACTTGCAGCACATTTTAACTAAGTTAAAATACTTTTTAGAATGATGATTAATAGTTGTTTTCTTTCTGGATCAAGAAGTACCTGCAAGTATGTGAGGCTCAAGTTCATGTTGCCTTTCTCCTGAGATAGATTTATTCTGTGAGCATAATACACATCTGTATTACTTCACAACTTTTTAACAAAGCGAAATTTTGGTGATTGTCTTCTAGCTCTCTTGGGGGAGAAGAATTAATTAATAAATTGCCCTGATTTTTATTTTAATCATTAAAATTATATGGCAACTAAAAAGTTTTTGCTTAAGCATTTCAAATAACTTTGCTGTCAACAATTTATGGCTTTAAGACAGAATCCAGCAACCTGTGATTAATGTATATTTACAGTGGACACTCAACAACGCTGGCTGTGACTGTATTTATACCAGTACCACTGCTCTGTAGATATCTGATGGCTCTACAGTGGTGCTCAAATGCATTTTTTCATGTAGGAATGTTTAAGAAACAGAACTGACCTTTTGTGGTCTAGTTAGCAGCATCACATATAATCGCAGGGTAAGATCAAAATACTTGCTGCTGAAACGAGAACTAAAAGCAGCAGAAGAACAAATGTGTTTCTGTAGTGAAATTTGGAAAGAAGATGTCAGCATGATACAGAGCATAATAAAAAGTATCTATCAGAGTGGAGGAACACCAGTAATGGTGGGACTGTTTGAACAGCACAGGGGAGTTGAAGGAGGGAAGGTGCCATGATACTTCCAGTGGCAGTATATAGAATCAATAAAAAATGCCCTTTAAGGATGAGTTTTCTTTGTAAATTATCTTTTTCACTTTTTAAAAATAACTTCTGGTTTTGACTGCTCTCCGTGTCAATTTCAGGATGACTCCTTGCCCTGAAAGGCATGGAACTTCTTTTTATTTTTCTGACAAAAGTGTAAATCTGAGACTGTTCAGGTATTTCTGGAGTGGCATATCAGACACACCAGATGTCCTGTGTTGATATTTTGTGTCAGCAGCAACCTGCTAAAAAGACGAGTCTAGAAGTTGGCCAGCATCTGCCAACGAGGCACTAGGCAGGATATGTTTCAAAACAAAGGGTGTGATTTTCAAGTGAAACCCTAAGGTAGCAAGGCAAGTGGAGCTCCGTGGGACAGAGGTGATGGGATTCACAACCTGCTTTTCCCTGGTGCCACTCTGCACATTCAGCCACTCAAGCTGGTGCTGAGGGACCTGCCTTTGGAGAAATGCACAGGAAGGGCTGTTGCATTAACCCAGTAGAAGTGTCTTGCTGTGCAGTCACTCATGTCTCAAAACAGGTGCTTTTTTGGCATGATGCCTCTGGCCACTGCTTCAAATCCTGTGCTTGTTAGTGACTAAGTCCTTAGTCATTTTTCTGTTTGAAAACGAACTAAAGAAAAACCCACAGATCTGGGGAAACCCTCATGGGAAAATCTGCTTTGGTAGCAGAGAGGCTTGTGGAAATTCTGCAGGAAGGTTTTGACAGTAAGAAGTGTTTATCTGCTACATAATTCAAAATATGAAAAAGCAGCAAACCAGCAGAGAATCTGAGGATTTCTGAAACAATTGTTTTGTGCCACACATTTTGTATATTAGCCTAGTAGTAAAGTAATGCTGAGGGCCAGCAAAAACAATCCTGAATTTGCTTTTGTGATTGAGAGGTTAAACAGTTACCTTCTTACCTGCTTTTTTTAGTGTTGGGATTCATTTTAGGTGTTACTAAGGTGGTACTTAGTGCTGGAATCGTTATCTCTAATAGTCAAGTGTTTATATCAGAATGCAGTCAGACCTACAGCAAAGCCTTTAAACTCTTTTAATAAATTTGAAAACAGTGAATTTGTTAATCTATTTTTTGTTTGTTTCAGTGTCCTTCATTTAGCAATTATCCACCTTCATACTGAGCTGGTGAAAAACCTCTTGGATGTGATGCCCGATTTGAATTACAATGACATCATTAACATGAGAAATGACCTCTATCAGGTGCGCAGTTGTGGGGATATAAGTGTTCCTGACTGTTCAGCCAGTAATAAAGAAATTGCACAACTTGCTGTCTGTGGAAAGAGATCAGACTGATGCAAACAAGTTTAGAAACAAGGATATATTGGAAGGCTGTGGAGGAAAGAAGAGAGTATGTTTTCACTGGTTTAGTCCATAACTCTCCTTCATGGTAACAGAAGTGTCTCCCTGGGTTAACTGTGGAACAGGCCAAAAAGAGTAAATTCTTCATTTCATGGCTTCAGTATTTGGCTTCTCTGTTACTAAACCAGAGGTATGGATTACAGTGTGCCAGCTCCAGGCTCCTCTGACCTTTCTGACGCTGGTTAACTTGGGATCATGAGTCAGTTCCTGTGTCATCAGTTATCTGTAAGGCACATGTGGAAGCCATAATAACCTATGCCCTTCCTACAGCCCAGATTGTATTTGTGCCCATCATGTGAACACCAAGATTTCCCTTTCATTTCTGCTGTAACTGAGAAAAGCCCATCCCCTTTGTCTTTCACCTAGGAGGAAAAGAACTTGCAGGCACAGTTCTGTCTCCTCAACTATATTTAACTCAAGTTTTTAAAAGAGCTGTGAGAACCTGCCTGGAACAGAATCTCTTTTAAAGTGCTGCCATTAAGCAGCACTCTGACACTTGTGTCATTTGTTTTGCCATGAACAGTAAAGGCAGGTTTTAATTCTGTAGAGGTAGTCCCAGAAGGTTTATTTTGACTTTGTTTTCCTTCATATTTTTATGTTCTTAAAAAGCAAGTTTTAAATGTGGAGGAGGCTGAAAGTAAGCAGAAGATTCTGAATTGAATTCTGTGCCCTGTGTTTAAAAGAAACAGGAAGCAAAGCTGGGCTCTACACAGGAAATAAATCCCTGACTACCAGAACCTTTACAGCTTTTCCTACCTTCAACTTAAACCTTAAGCCATTGATGAAAGAGAATGTAGGCTTGGGCTAGAATTTTCCTTCTCTTGAGATGTTCTGAAAGCTGACATATTCCTTACAGATGCAGTAATTAGTTGCAAATGTGTTGACAGATCTAATGACAAACACAAGGTTATTGTGCAGAGCTGGAATTACTCTTTTTTTAAAATCCTCTGTCAATATAATCTAGATATGTAATCTTACTCAATTTTAAAATTGTTATAGTATTGGAAATACCATTTCTCAGACCTTACTAGAATGCTTACTGTTTAAATACATGTATATGTATGTTCAGTGTGGTGCTGCTCAGAACTGACAAGAATGCAGTATGCAACCAAGCGTTAGAAGGTCCCAAAACCTCTCAGCCTGAGTGTTGTTCAGTGCTGCAGGTGCACAGAAATGGAGAATCTGCAAATGGGATGAGGTAGTTCAACACACACAGCATAAATGCACAATTATTCTGCAGTTTGACAGTTGTACAGAACTGCAAGATTTTCAGCCATTTTGAGGGATAAGGAACTCCTATGCCCATGGCTGCATATGATCTCTGATTCAGGAGCAAAATGAGAGCATGGTTCATTGCTAAAGGATCTGAGTAAGGCCTGGAAAGCATGTGTGCTCCCACTGTGGCATGAGCTTGGTGATGGGGCAGCTGTGGAAGCAGGGTTGGAGTGTGTGGGGATTATCTGATTTCCCTGGTCCCTTGCACTGCAATGCTCAAATAAATGCTCAATGCTTATAGAGTAGAAAACATCTTTGTTCCTCCCAGAGTCCAACTGCTGACATTGGCAAGGCAGGTTTTATTTCCAGTAGAAACCCTATTTGTAGTATTCAGTAGAAAAGAAGCTACACCGCTCCAAAGCCAACAAACTAAAAGCTTGCATATGTGTACAGTCTTCTCACCCTAGGAGCTTTTATGGGTTTCAGAGATTTCTGTACAAGTGATGTAGCTGTTGCTTATATTCTCATGGCTTGCTTCTGTCACTTGCAGACCCCCCTGCACCTGGCAGTAATCACAAAGCAGGCAAAGGTGGTGGAAGACTTGCTGAAGGCTGGAGCAGATGTCAGCCTTCTGGATCGCCATGGCAATTCTGTCTTACATTTAGCTGCTACTGAAGGAGATGACAAGATTTTGAGTCTACTCCTCAGGCATGAGAAGGTATCTCCGATGGTCAACCTCCCCAATGGTGAAGGTATGGAAAGATAATGGCTGTATTTGACACTTTCCTACTAGACAAACATACCACTATTCCTGCCAATACTGTGTTGCTACATAGACCCTGAAAATAGCATCTTTCCCTATTCTGCATATGCTGCTCTTGGTTTTTACATGCCTGCAGGCACAGATTAGAGAACACAGGTGTGTCAGTTTTCTGGTTATACAGAACAGAAAGATTGGTAATGGTCACGTGACACAGTAAGGATTTGAACTTTTGTCACTTTACATTCGCTTCAATCACAGAACCTCAAGCATTGTGTTCGTCTTGCTCCTTATGCCGCCTTTGGTTTTTAAAAAGAAATCCCCCCAGAAGAAAATGCCCTCCTGTCTAGTGAATGAAATCCCCTTAGAGAAATAGTTTCTGGACTAGTATTGAGAGTATTGAGTTTCATATCATATCTGGTACTTTGTGACCATACAGAATTAGAGCCTGTAAAATAACCACAAAGAGACAGTTCTCCCATTTTTCAGTGCACAGGGGACTTTGTAAAATATCTGATCTAAAATTGTCATTATGGATTCAAAAAACTGTGTTCAGTTCTTCAGAGAGAGGATTTTTTGGTTGGGTTTTGGTTGGTTGGTTGGTTTTTAAATAAAAGGCTTTATTATTATCTTTCTGGTACAGGTATTCTTGAGGTGTCAGGTCACTGTGACTTTACAGGAGGATGATACTAAAATATACCAGTTACTCTCCAGGCCATTTTCTATAAGAGATGTTCAGCAGCAGATGGGGCCAGTGTGGGGTATCTGCTTGTTTAGTACCAGATTTTCTTTTGAAGGATATTCTATTGAGGCAAAAAGATGCTCTAGGTGAGCTCTGTAGTTCCTGCCTTCTGTTCCACCTTGTAATCTGATTTTTTTTTTTTTCTTGCATGGTTTTAACTCTCCAGGTTCCAATTTATGCACAAAGAACATGTTTATTAACACCATTAACTTCATCCTGAGCCTCCACCTGGAGTACTCCTTTAAGGTCTGGGGCCCCCAACATAAATAAGGACATGAGCTTGTTGGAGCAGGGCCAGAGGAGGGTGTGAAGATGCTCACAGGGCTGTAACACCTCTCCTGCAGACAGGCTGGGAGACCTAGGACTGTTGAGCCTGGAGAAAAAAGGCTCCAAGGAGACTTTATAGCACCTTCCAGTACCTAAAGGGGGCCTACAGGAAAGCTGGAGAGAATTGTTTTACAAGGACACGTAGGGATAGGACAAGAGAGAATCACTTTTAACTGACAGAGGGTGGGTTTAAATTAGATATAAGACAGAAGTGCCTTGCTGTGAGGATGGATCTGTGAGGTTGATGAGACACTGGAACAGGCTGCCCAGACAAGATGTGGATGCCTCATTCCTGAAAGTAGGCTCAAGGCTAGGTTGGATAGGTCTTTGAGCAGCTTGGTCTGGTATAAGGTGTCCCTGCCCACGGCAGGACTGGGGTGGAATTAGATGATCTTTGAGGTCCTTTCCAATCTAAACAATTCTATTATTCTATCATCTTTTAGTGCATAAGCAGGCAAAATAGTGTTACTTCTGCTCAGGTAGCTACAGTAACTGTAAGTCACTTTACAATTTTCTCACTTTGAAATTCATTACTCTGACATTTCTGAATTTTACCAATATTAATGCAGATGATGGATGGATTTTATTTTGTGTAGGTCTCAGTGCAATTCACATGGTGGTGATGGCAAATAGCATGTCCTGCCTCAAACATCTGATTGCTGCTGGAGTTAACATCAATGCTCAGGAACAAAAATCTGGACGAACTGCACTGCATTTGGCTGTTGAACAAGAGAACATCCCCTTGGCAGGCTGCCTTTTGCTTGAAGTAAGGGCAGAATTTCTTTCTTCCAGGTCTTTTCAATGACATATTTAAAATCTGTTGACAATCCTCGAGTGCTTCAGAAAAACAGAAGTAAGGAGGCAGTACTTGAACTGGTATAATGGCAAAGTTACTGGTAACATTACTGTTTTGTTCAGCAGTGCTGGTGAAGCTTTTGCCCAAGTGGAGGAATTTAGAGTTTGTGACCCTAACCTGACTGCACATGCCATGTATAATTTGCACTGAGTAATCCTGGCAGGCACTAAAGTGACCATGAACAAGTTCATCCCTTCTTTATGTGAAGTAGAACATGTATAGATATGTGCAGAGATGTAGTTGTGTAATCTAAAAATGTCTGTCTCATCCTAACACCTTGATCCTGGTATCCTTAATTCTACACCCCCAGCTGGCTGTGTAGCCTTCCTGTGTGTTCATGCATCATGTGCCACCAGCCTGGCTGCTCTGATGAGCAGCAGGAGGGTAGGATTCTATCTACACAACTCAGACTCCAAAGGCTATGGGCAATCCGATGGCAGAACTTTTACAGGAGATGCAAAGTGACTTTTATTTACCTGACCTATTTGGAGATATAGACTGTGCCCCCTGCTCTAACACTGGAGCACACTACCACCATATGCACCCAGACTGTTGTAGTTACTTTCTAATTCCTTCTTTTCAGGCAACAATTAAGAGTTTTTATGCAACCAGGCATGGAATGGTGCTTACTTGCACAGTAGCAGTGTTTATGTTGACATGAGCCTCTGCATTGTAAAAATTTCTTTTCTTTTTCTGCCATTCAATAAAAACTCAGGGTGATGCAGATGTGGACAGCACTACATATGATGGGACAACTCCACTTCACATAGCAGCTGGAAGGGGCTCAACAAAATTGGCAGCAGTTCTCAAAGCAGCAGGTATGGAAATAGACCTTTGCTGAAGACTTTTCTTTCCCAGTGACAATTCAAGTTAGAAAGCTGCAAGCAGAAAAGAATGTGCCAGTGAACTTGTTTAATGGGTGGAGGAAGTCAGATGTTAAAAGAAGCAAGGTCTGAATTTCCTCAGGTGCTATACTAATCACTCTTCAGCACCATCTAATGGCTAGAAAGGCAAATTATGTTGGCAAAAAAACATGAGGACTTCGAGAAGTTTTTTGAGTATCTTTTATGGCTTTTATAGATGAAGAAGTGGAGAGACCTTTTTATATATCTGGGATAAGTGTTGGACTGCTTTAGAAACAAAAAGCCAAAAAAACCCATCACTAAAGCATGAGCTTGTTATGGTCACCTATTTGCTGTCACTTCGGAAGAATTAGGTTGGAGTATTTATTGGAACATTTTGTCAATTGTACTTAAGCCTGATTTTTTTCCTTTGAAACAGAAACCCAAGCCTCCCATTTCTGAGGCTGTCTGCTTGGTCTTTTAAAAGCACCCCCACTTTGTCTCACACTCTAAAAAGCAGCACCACACCATCCCTTTATCACATGCATGCTGTCCTGCAGGAGGCAGGATGGGACTGGAAGTCAGTGGATAAAGCCAGAGCTCTTTCTTTGGGCCCTAACACTCTGCTTGTTATTTTTCCCCTCTTTATAATGGAGAGTAGCATTATACAGAGATGTGACAGCACTTAAATGTAATTGATAAAAAGAGCCACTTGAAGCCCTTTTCCCCCCCACCACTCTCACTTGTTTTTCAGGTGCAAATCCTCACATTGAGAACTTTGAACCATTGTTTGATCTGGATGATGTGAAAGATGGTGAAGATGATGATGAAGGGATTGTGCCTGGAACAACACCACTGGATATGGCGGCCAACTCTGAGGTATGTGGTTGGAAGAAAGCTCCACTGAACTGACTAATGCTGCTGAACAGAAATGACCAGGCATTTCTTGAAGTAACTGCACTACAGTCTTCAGTGTGGGAAAGTATTTACCTGGGTGGGAAGCTTGTGTTTGAAGGCCCATCCTCCACTGGGCTTCTTTGCTGAGTGTTCTTCAGAATTGCAGCCTGTGTGTGGTGGGCAAATGCACTCCTGTATTCTACCCAGTCTGATGATTGTTGATTTAGCTTGGTGTGAGTGTAAAGGATAAGCAGTCAGCATCTCTCATCATCTGAAGCTGGGGAGTGGTACCAGCCTTAGGTGAAAATCTAACCCAGGCTTCGTTTTAAATGACTAGTTGCAGACAAGAAGCAGCTCTTTGCTTAGTCTCTGCTACTGCCATTTATTTATTGCCAAGACTTTCTCTGTGTCTTGAAAATAGTTGCCAGATGACACAGCTTAAAATAAAGCGAGATTAACTTTTCAAGATTTCTCCCTTAAGTTTAGCACAGGTTTTGTACTGTCATACTGAGCTTGGGAGAGGAAAAAAATGCTGATTTACAGATGGAACTTTATACAACACTGCTGAAACTTAATGGACACTAACCCGATTTCTGCTAAATACTGATTTTAATGTATTCTCTTAGGTGTATGACATACTAAATGGCAAACCCTATGAGTCAGCAGAGGTTTTGGAGGACTTACTCACACAAGGTAACACCTATAAAGACTTGACAATATCCTTCTAATAATTGAGTACTGAAAATGTAGTGGCAGAAGACATTGCCCTGCAACAGCTTCTAACTGAGCTGGTGAGAGAATAGGTGTCCTCCCACCCCCTTGCACAAAGAATGAGCATGATTCCCTTAAGAGGTCTCACGGACAAGGAGTACATCTGCAGTATTGCAGCAATACATTTGTAAATGCTGGGATTGGACTCTCTAAAAGTCTTCAGTTTGGCCTTGTTTCTGCTTAAAAATGAACTGGTGCATGATTTGTATAAATAATAAACTAACTTATTTCTCTGATCCCCAGGACATTTGAGAGAGCTGAATGAGAATTCCAAGATGCAGCTTTACAAATTATTGGAATTGCCTGATCCAACCAAAAACTGGAGCTCCCTAGCACAAAAACTGGGTCTTGGCATACTTAATAATGCCTTCAGGTTGAGCCCTTCCCCATCGAAGACTCTGCTGGATAACTATGAGGTAACGTGCTGTACCAGGTTATAAAGAACATTCATACACGTGCAAAACCTTGTCCTCCATAAAGTGAGACAGTGCAGCCCTGCAGTTTTAGCCAACCTGGATGGTGCTGAGCATCTGATGTCTTCTCTTCCAGGTTTCTGGAGGTACAGTTCAGGAGCTGATCACAGCTTTGAGACAGATGGATCACACAGAAGCCATAGAAATAATTCAGGAAGCACTATCCATCTCACGCAGACCGTCTCCACTGGAGGACAGTACAGCAAAAGCTCTTCCATCATCATCACCACTCACCTTTGCAAATGAAGAGACAGGTAAAATTGGCAGCAAAATATGAAGAGCTTTATTTAAGACTTTTTTTCAGTTCTCCTTCCCCATTCTATCTAGGACTGCTGATAAATTGCACACCTTCTTGCACACACTGCTTCACCTGCTTACTAGTTTCAGAAATATTCTACTGCAGTGTGTCCCCTCTCATCACAGATATCTCTTAGCCATAGGAGAGGAAAAATGGACCACTTGGATGCCCTGTGGTAAAACCAGACACCTGCCATTTGCTAATGGTAATGCCTTGGATGTACTGGGAGTATAGGCAATTATCTCCCAGGTGTGTACAAGTGCCATTAGCTCTTGACTTCCTCCCACCCCAGCCCATAGCTGGATAAACAAAAGTGTTTTGAGTTCCTAAACTTCTCGGTAAGACTTCAGTATTAAATTTCTCCTTCCACAATGTGTAGCACTCCAAAATGGCCCAGTGTTCTGTAGGCAAAGAAACTGGGGCTGGACCTCAAGCAGTCCTGCTGGCCTACTACCTGCTCAGAGCAGAGCCAGTGGAACATGAGGTTGCCCAGTTGAGTTCTGAGCATCTTCAGTGATGGAAGTCCTACAGTGGTTTTGGGCAGGGAACTCTACTAAGAGAAGAAGAGAGGTTGTGAGAAATTTGAGATCAGGGCTGTTCAGTCATTGCTTGGCCACATTAAATAACAAAAACCCTGTGTAAAAAAATACTGTAATATTTCTGGTAAGAAAAAAAGAACCACCACAGTAACTCCATTCCAATCTAACATTGCCAGTTTATTCTCTATAGAAAACTATTTGGTCAGTCATGGAATAAACTTTCACACCCACCGAAAAATGTGCTTGTACACATATTTTTAGATTCATCTTGAAGCGTAAGAGGGGTTCTGCCCCCTCTGCAACATGAATGGAGGGCATCACATCATTTATTTTAAGATGTTTGTTTAGAAAAACAAGACTGAAGAAACCACCACTGTTTTAGTCACACCGATCCCACACTTTACTTTCAGTTTCAGCTCTTGCAGTCAGGCACTCCTTCTGTGGATCCTGTACAGGTGATAGATATACTGACTTGTTCCTATTTCAGGGTGACTTACTCAATGAAAGCTCTTCAAGTGTTTGTCTCAAAAATAAATCTGTAAATTGAAATAACATGAATTAAAAACCTCATCCTGGAGGTGTACACTTGCACAGAGTGTGACTTCTGAGAACCAGAGAACCTTTTGCCATGTGACCACCACAGCTAGGCAGAGTCTCGACCCGAGTGCAGTGACAGCATTAATATCAGCAGAGCACCAGGCTTCTCATCCCATCCAAGCTCCAACTGCAAGCTGATCACTGCCAGCACTACATCATATCACATGCTTTGGTGGCCTGGAAACATTCAGCACAGCTTTTCCTATTATAATATCTTGTGTTAGAGTTATTTTCCTATAAAAGAGCTTAACCCTGTTGGTTTGTATTCTTTAGGCTTTTCTTAAAGCAACCTTGCTCAAGCCACACAAATGATGATGTTTCCCTTTTCTCTGTCCCTCAGGTGAGCTCTATAATAGCAGATTCCAAGACACTGAAAGTACATGTGACAGTGGTGTGGAGACCTCCTTTCGCAAGCTGAGCTTCACTTACTCAGACTCTCTGAACAGCAAGTCCTCACTAACACTTGGCAAAATGGCCCTGGGCTATGGACATGAAAGTTCAGGGCAAAGCAATTACATAGCTGACTAGTGATCTTCAACTAGCAATATGCAGTTACAGGAACAAATGGGACATTTCAAATGACATCAGTGTCATCCTGCCCAGAGGGAAGGGAACTCACAACCAAAAGTGCACTGGAAGAATCCCATCTGAACCTGAACAAATGGCAACTGCAGCATGTGACTCCTTAGCCACTGCTTCCTTCCTCAAGTACATTTAATTGTGTTCATTTACAAGTCATTTACAAAAACCAGGGCTCTGCTGCATTAATACACAGGACTGGACGCTGTGAAAGACTGACTGAGCTTTCCTGGTCTGTGATGATTTTCTTTTACAGATGAAAAAGAAGTTGTTAATGTATAATACAAACTTACTAAAAAGGTTAAGCACATGAGCAAGAGGACACAGTTTTTAGCTGCTCTCTTCATAATTTTTGCAGCACAGTTGCATGCAAACAGTTTATAAAATAGCTGGCAAAGAAAAATCATTACTTTAATCACAACAATGACAACTCAAGAGAAAAAAGAGAATCCTAAAAGAATCCTGTATATTTCAAATAATGTATTTAAACTTAACTTTGGTGCCTCTTATTCAAAAATTTTTTCAAGTTTGGCATTTTCCTACTTGTAAATAGTTTTTTAATATCTGTTCCTTTTTGAAAAGGCATGCTTTTTAAATGCGTATTTTTATTTTACTTTTATAATAAAACCCCAAAACTAATTCTCCTGTCTGTGCCTGCTGTGATTTTTACTTTTCAAGTGGAGGTATTGAAGATTTAGCATCTCAATTTTAGGCATTGATACCAAATCATGCTGATTTTCAAGCACTAAAATAAATGAAAGGTTGCAAGTCACTTGTCTTAATGCTAAAGTATCTTTTATGGAGGGAGAGCAGGATCATCAGCTACTGCTGAGCAGCTGTGCTTTGAGATTAAAGCCTCTGCCTTGTTTTAGCTCTCATCATTATGGCAGCAGAGAGTCATTTACACTGAAACCAGCTATTCAGTGTTTCACAAATCTCAGATGAGATAGCTCTCCTTTGGGCTATCTAGAATCTCCTGTAGTAACTGCTCATGAGCAGTGTTTCTTCTTGTCTGACATAAATTCTGAGATGGTGAGCGTCCTGTTATTGATGTTGGCCCAAGTAAACAAAACAGGCATCAGAGTACATGGTGAAAAAGCCAAGAGGGGCATTCTACCACTGTCACTTACTTTTAGTTAATTTCTGTAGCACAAAGATGGAGGGTGGTTCTTGGCTCAGCTCAGTCTTCAGTAATCTGGATGTCACACCTGAGAAAATGAATCAAGATAAACCTTGAGAATGGTTATGTTTAGAATGGTAGTTGCTGTAAATAATTGAACTATGAGTAATGAAAAAAACTTGTGCATTAATTTTATAATCCAGCTGAATTACTGAGACTTAATTACTTCCAGAGAAGATGAGTAATAGTAAAAGTGCCATTCTTTTTTTCAGTTCTTGTATGTATAACCCTCACTTAGGCAGTGTTTAAGGCATATAGATTTTTGTTCAATTAATCTTCTTCTCCAGTGTTCTCTTTGTATTCCAGCTCTTTTGAGCACTAGGAGAGCTGCTGTTCAAGTAAAGCACACCTTCTGCTTCCAGAGTTCCAGCACAACTCATGGGGCTGACAGAGATTTTTACTGAGGTTTCTACAATCTTGCAGAGCACCAGGGCACCCTGGCTGTTATTCATACCTTTTAGATTTAGTTCTGACCAGCTCTGCTTTTAAACCATCAGAAGCCACCTGGCTCTGTATTTCCTTAAAGCACTTCATGATGCTTCATGAGATGTTGCATAATAGCTGTTTATCAGGTTACTAATCATGCACAGCAGGTTCCCTAGGCTCTGTGTATTGAAGTGCCTTAAACGGCAGTATGGCAGCTTCTCAGTGTCACTGTATTTAATAAAAAAGGCTTTAATCCTTTTAGGCTTTTTCCCCTTTGTTGAGAGATAGAAAAATACTACTGAGAGCATCTACACCTGGCTTCTAGAGAGAAACCTCCAAACTTAATCTGCACGTGCAGTGGAATAGAGCTAGCTCCCTTGTTTGGCTACTCTACTGCAGTAATAAGCATGAGAAATATGTGGAATGCAGCAGCAGTTGTGACAACAGATCCCTTCATCTCTTCTCTACGTTTGATGTAAAATGAATTATTCAGAAAGTTAAACTGCCCTTGATTTTAGATTGGCTGCTACACCTGTGCATTTCCTGGCATCATCTTGGCATGTATTTACAAATTGGAAATCATTGGTCCTGGGAAGCTCTAGGCAGAATTCTGAGATTCTGTGGACTGACTACCTACATGTAGTGGTGTATGAACTGTCTTTCCTCCCTTGTCTGGGAAAATAAAATGCTTTTTTCACACATTTAAGAAAAAAGATACACTCTCCTTGCTTCCCCCAAGTAAAGTGACAGTAATGGTGGTGCCCATTTGTTAGCTCAGGGTGCAGGGGTCAATACTCACCTACTATCTACAGCTTCTAGTGTTTCTGGGTGATTATGTCATGAAATAAAGCAGTTCTAGAGTAATGGCCAATGGTGCAGTCCAAACTTTTGCTAGCTTCAAAAGATTCCTAGAGCAAAAGAGAACACAAGTTAAGCATTTCTCTGTTCAGCATTATGAAGCAGCCTGATGTCCCACTTAGAGCCAGGCTGGAGTATGTTTTTCCAAGGATGCAGAGGTTTCCCATGACCTCATTTAAATCTAACTGCTATAGCATTTTTCAGCCATCCAATCACCCTTGCCATATGCACAACGCAGAAGAGCACTAGCTCAGGTACTTAGAGATCTCTATTGTCTGACTCTACTTCTTATAGAGATGGCCTTATTTCATTTAAGTTTTGCTTTTCCACACAAATTAATTTCTGGCTTTTGTTTTGCACCTTGTAACATCCGACTGGAAAGCAAAGTTATGTAAATGCAACTCTTAGATTGAAACTTGTCCTAAAAATTTCAAACCATGAGTTCCTGGTTCCTAAGAAGGTAAGAAAGAAAACAGTGATTCTGAGAATAAAAAGGCTGGCTTGTAAGCTTCAAAATCCATTTCTCCTGTACTGATAACAAGAAACTCATTGGCCCCTTTCTCTGCTCCTGACACGGCTTCAAGTCACTGAAATGGTCTCTGCTACACATCTCCAAAACCAAAAGGGAACTAATAGAAGTACTAAAGAAGGATGTGCCTCTAAGGCAGAAAATTTGTCCAGACCATAAGGTAAGCAAACAGCAGGTAACAAGAAAGACTGACAGAACTGTGAACACTTTCTTAGAGAGCAATTTTTAGATATATTTGCATGCTTCTTTCACATGTTTCTTTCCTGGAGAAGATGCAGAATATGAAAAAATTTCCAAGGACATGCTCCAGTAACCTGGAGCAAAATAAGTCATCTTGTGTGGCAGAAAGTATGAACAAGCAGGTGCTCTCTAAAGCTCAAAATGGCCTCTGCAAGCCCAGAATGTGTTCAAAGCCAAACCTCAGCCAGAGAATGGTTTTAGGACAACAGATTAGCCAATACCATACAGTGTTCTTCCCAAACCTGCTCTCAAGTTCTGCTCTGGAAGAGCATTTGTCATGGCTCTGGGGCACTCTGGCTGCTGCTTTTGCTATCAGTGGAGAACAGCCCAGATGGGCCTGGGAGCAAGCACACTCTCTGGTCCTTAACAAGACATTACTGCACAGCAGCACCCTGGAAAAACACTGACGAGGCCAGTGCCCTTTACTGCTGCCACCAAAAAGTAATGTAATGGCACTGAGGACAAGCACCATGACACTTACCAAATGCTCTTCCTAACGCTCCTGCTGCCAAACCCCCATCAGACAGAACTGGCAATTCAGGTGCTGCTGTAGCTGTAACAACACTCAGCTGACAAGATGGATGTGTCCCCAGGAGTGTGGGGTAGGAGTGCTGCCTTCCTATCTCTGCCCTGATCTGAGACAAAGGCAGAACAATTTAAGCAAGTATAGCACAGGATGCCACTGCAGAAGTACCAAGGGGAAATGGTTAACCAAAGCACACCTTACAGCCACTGGTGCACGGCAAGAGAACAGCTTCTATAAATACACACCTACTACAACACCAGGAAACCAAAAGAACATATTAAGGATATTGAAACAATACTGGTAGCCAGCCTTCCTCTTTAAATTCTGTTTTGAGTTCAAGCATTTGGCTTAAGCAATTGCTAATCTTTCATAATGGCACCTAGTGCTGAATTAAAGATTTTCAGTGAGAAAGAATGGACCTACTCCTTAGAGAGCTCCTGACCTTCAAAAACAGCAATAATTTAAAAATTGCCCAAACCTTGCTATGTCAATCTGGTAATTGCAGAAAGCAACAGGGAAATAAATAATAGAATGCTGTTATGTATAACTGTGCTGGTAGACTTCATTTCCATAGCCACTTCATCACCTATTAATCGTGTACCACATCATTTATTTCATGATTTTCCCTAGAAATTGGGACAGGCTAGACGAGGTCACAGTTATCCAAATTAATGAACGGGTTTTGCTTCTAGCAATCTAAAAGCTCTTTTCTACATATCTCAAACTCCACTCATATGCTGAGATGGACAAATATCACTGACCTCCAGACAGGCCTCTTGATTGTCTTATACAAGTGACTCCTCCAAAGCTGTATTTATTTAACACTATTAAGCGGGATTTTCAAATTCTAGCCAGATGTTGCTGGAAGACACATTTCTCCATCAATATAAGAAAAAGACATCAACAGACTTGCCTTTTTCCTAGTACACTGCAGCAGTACATGTTAATCATATTTTCTCTAAATTTTTTCATTCTTACCTTATATTGACTTTATTGCTCCTTTGATTCCACTTTGATTCCAGGACACCAAAAAAACCTGAAGAATTTTTCTGGTATTGTTGGCCCATGATGCCTCTCAGAATAACTTTAATTTCCTTTGTCAATGCCTGTGTTTGTTAAGCTTTACTCTTGACTGTCATTTTCCCTGTTTATTTTACAAAATCTATAAACATTGGCACATGCACATCCATATTTTGATTGTTTTCATGTCTTCTTTTAACTGGGACTAGTTTTGAACCAGATGCAACTGCAGTTAGTTGTTTTGGTGACCCAATAAAGCATTTGACAGAAACTCTCATTTATCATTTCCCTTTCATCTCTAACTTCTTCCTCTTGTCCAGGAGTATGTCAGTTTTGGTTAACACCAAAGTATCAGCCAACATGCTCATCTCTCTACCCATTAAAACTGCAATCACAACTCAAATCCACCCCCAGTCTGAGTTCTCCAATGGAACACACAGCTGGTCCCCCACACCACCACCAAGTATCCCCCACGTGCAGCTTTCACAGCACCGATGGACATCAGTGGCAGAGCTCGTTTAAACTCCACTCTACCGTGGAACTGATTCTGCTTTGCAAGAAAATTATTATTTGCTTGGGTGGACAGAGTAGCCTTGTGGAACCCCAGCAAGATCCCAGCTGCATTTCAAACTCTGTCTGATAGACAAGCCAAATGTTTAGCAACCTGCCCACGGAGTGGCTTGGTGGCCTACTGGAGATAGTCCCAGCTTCACTCCAGGTCCTTCTCCCTTGGAATGCCCCCAGCATTCCTTGCTGTTATTCTAAAATGAATTTCCACTTACAGCATAGTGAAATTATAAAAAAATATGGATGCGCTTTCAATATATCACATATTTTATATGCAAGCTTTGCTGTTGGTATCTTTACATTGAACCAGCAGTTAAAATTCACATGACAGGAATAGACAGTATGTTCTTCAGCCAGCTCAAAGTGTATGTCACTTCAACTTCAGTCAAATTCTTCTAATCTTTTTTTTCTCCTCCTGTTTCACTCTTTATCTAGAAGGAAATGAAGTATTCTCAGACAACGTCCAGTAGAGAGGTCAAGATTAGTGAACTTTCTAGTTCTTCAACACTGGTAGGTTCCCAAGGATAAAACACAACCACTTTCTTCCTTTCAGTCATGAGGAAACCATTGTCACTAAATCTGCCTTTTATACTCCCTACATCCAGAGTAACAAAAGGAGCAATTGCAGTGGTCTGAAGAACAAAAGCGTAAGTATCATCTTGTTGGGATACAGAGGCCTGAAAGAGAAATTAAAAAACTCAATTATTAAAAAAAATATGTATTAAAGAAGACCCCTGTTCCACTCAAACTGGGAAAGACCTGCATGTCAGGCTAAACAACAACATTTGATCAAAATTAATATTCTTCATATGTAAAAATCATGCAAAAATTGCAAATGCTACTAAAGCTTTCCTACAGACTACTAGAGATTGTGAAAAAAATGCCAAGAAGTATTATCACTTTGCTGTTTTCTTATGAGAATAACTGAATAAATGGTAATCTGACTTCTACATAGCATGATATCCCATACTTACTGAAGTGAAAGATATTTGTCCTTTCACCAACAATTCACATCTACTTTAAGAGCTTGCATTTCAAGTACATACGTAATAGAAATAGACAGAAGCAAAAGATGGTAAAAATCCCGGTAAGACTGAAAGTCATCTCATCTTAATGCATCATGGCAGTGAAGCCCTTATACCTCATTTAGTAAAATATATTAAAAAAACATTGTAAAATATCAGGTCAAGGTATAATGCTTTATATTAAGTTCCACCAGTACTTAAATCTCAGAGAGACTTAAAATCCCAACCAGGATATATTTTTCATGCAGCACTCCCCATTCACCATAGTGAAAGACTGTGCTACATAACTTTCAAATACCAATTAACCATCTATAAAAAGAGGAAAAAATACAGTCAGTGCAGACATCGTGTTCCGGCTACGGAAGAAAAGCAATGCTATTCATTTTTGAGAAAAAGCACACATCCTCTACACATTTTGTTTCCTGAAGAAATACTAATACTTTTGGTGCTTTTTAAAAGCAATGCTACGGACAGCAGCTCTTGGATTAGCAATGTATTTGAAAGTCTAGTTAGTTTATTAGTAACTAAGTATAAACCTACAGCCTCTTGCAAAAGTCATTTTATTAATCACAGCTGCATTTCTTAAAATGACCACTTTGTATTTATCCTTGCTAGCTATCCTTATTAGTTAGTATTGCAAAGACAACACAGTTACAAGAGAAAGGAATGAAATTGTCCAAAAATGCTACAGTTGCAGAGCTTTTCTTATTGATGATATCATCCATAAACCAAAAAACACAAACCAAAACAAACAAAAAAACACCCCACAGCATGACTCAGACTCCAGATCATACCACCACATGAAAAAAAAAGTAATACAGGCTGATTTCTTTTCTTTGTTTACTCAGGAGGCAGGCTGTGGTGCAGTGACAGAGATAAGAAAGGAAAATCTGGCCTATTTTCTTTTTGTAAAGCAATTACACTGGTCCAGATGCAAAGAGATTAGACCTCTATTCCCCCCCCCCCGTTTAGTTTAGCACTGAAGAGCAAAGCTGCAGTTTAAAAGCCAAATATGAGAATACAAAGGTCCCCATCCCACTCATCTGATGATTAAGAATTTTCCAATAAGATGTACATGCTAAGAAGTGAGGCTTAACAAAATGTTTGTGTGCACACATGCAGGGCATGCATGACCTCTATATATACAGCAAGCTTGCTAGGAGCAAAAGAAATCTAGGAAAAAGCAGCAAATTGACTAAATAACAGTGTTATACAACACTAATGCTTTTTGTCTGTTCGGGAGACTGGCACACTTGCTAATTATTAAGAAATCATCACTATTATGCAAATCAGAACCCTTACTAGAGGGAAGGGATTTGAAGGAGGAGGAAAGGAGCATGCAATACTGCATGTTAGCAATGTTACACTGATCTGAGAATGTGAGCACTTCCAGAGGAAATACTGCTGACAAAATGCACTCCACAATCAACTGAACTAGGATCACCTAATCCTGATACACAGCTCTGTCTGCAAGCCAGAACACTAGTCATGATGCTATTTGCAGTCAAGGGACAAAGAGAAAGAAAGGAGCAATGCTGCAAGGTGGAAGACAATCTAAACAAATGAAAGGGAGACTTCATTATTTTCACCAAAACAAAGCCCAGACAAAAAAACACAAACAAACAAATGAACTGTTATTTAGATACACATAGAGTGACACCAGAAAAAAATCTGGGTTTGAACTCAACCTGGAAGCCAGAATAGCAACAACTAAGGAGAAAGAAGATTCAGTGGAATTAGACACTGCATGGCCGGCAAACAACTCAAACCAGTAAGATTAGCAAAACCAAATACAGTAATTTAGCATGATTTATGCTTACACTAAGCTGGGTCTTTTCTAATCCCACAGCATCCTTGAGTGATGAAAGGAAGTAATGGTTTGTAGGACTCCGGAGCCCATCTTCTCCCACGAGACAGAAAGTAATAATACAGCTTCTCCTGGTACAATTTCTGCATCTTTCCAGAAGGTCACTGACAGACTCCTTGAAGATGGGGACAGCACTCTGTGCTATAACAGTCACACCTTCTTCGGCAAGGGTGCATACAGGCTCCAAAGAGCTCCAGGTGTACACAACAACCTATCAAGCACATTGAGAGAGAGCACAAAGCTTAGAAGATAGGCTATATCTGTGAAAACAATGCAGCATCCTAGATTTCAGACTGCTCATTACAAGAGATGTTTTTCTGACAGCACCAGCTGATTTCCACCTAGCAAGAAACTACACAATAGATATGGCATAAAAATTAGATAATTCTAAAAACCTAACAAGAAGTCCATTTCAAACGGTCTGGAGCTGCTCTTGATCTGCAAGACTTTTTTGTTTTCTCCAGGCTTCTTGAGAGGAAGAGATTGCCAATTCCTGCCAAGGGAGTGCTGGGAAATGGAATTATTGAGTGACTAATTTGTTGACTCTTTTTCCTCCCTTCCTGGATTAAAAAAACCCTCAAACAAAAAGGATTTTCTTGAGATTGCTCAGCGTTATCTGATGTAACTCAGCTGGGTATGCTAGAGCTTCTGCATAATCACTCTTAAACAGAAGCAAGCTCCATCATCTTAAAAGGGATTATGAAGTTTATATTAATACAGCAAAATACATTCACAGACATCATCCATGCAGTATGAATATACCCTTTTAAAAATCGCGTAATTTGGAAATTAAGCACTTAATTTGAATTACAACATTCTATTTCATAAATTTCAGTTATTTTTTGCCTTAACAGGAGTGTGTAGTCAGGAATAGATCTTCACTTCTTTCAAGAGTTAAGTTCCAAATCTTCTTTAAGTTCAATATACAGTATTCATCAGAACTATCCTACTGCCAACACTTCTCTGATGCTATCAGAAAATCTGGATTTATGTCTGTTAGAATAACTCAGACCAGAAATGAACAATTTCCTTAAGTGCAGTCCTACTCCAAGAACTGACTATCCAGAAATTGCAACCGTTTTCTGTACCATATATTATTCCATACAAGCAACCTTATAAATATCAAAATTCGTGGAAGCCCATCAGACAGAAAAATTATCTAGGAGCTGACATATTCATACTATTAGTTTAAAAATTACTACTTTGGAACTAGTAGCGACTAATGAGTTATTCCAGGTCTCTAGGTCTGTTTTTCCATCCTTCACACTGTTTTCACATGAGACACACTTTATGTCAGGGGCTATATCTCATAGTGGAAAATGGTCCCTAAATTCATCTGGGATCCAGTTGCCATATAATTAACAGCAACAAGCTGAAAAGTAAGACTGTTGTCTACAAGAAAATACACCAGTCCAAATACTAGCTTGGATACTAAAAATCCTATCAGTTTCTATAGCATTATCGGAAAACAGTTAAGGCATCAGTTGCAAAATGGTGACATGCATAGGTGATCTTCCAATTAAAGATGTGCTGTTCATATTTCAGAAAATAATCCAGTCCTTTTTCCCAAAGCCTATAGTTTGAATACTGTTAAGCCCTGGTACAATTCCTCCCTCACCCACTTAATCAGGTTATCTAGTTCTAAAACCCAGGGAACAGTTTTGTTAATTAGTGAGGTACCATTTTTCAAACTTTGTTGTATTTTATCATCAGTCCCTTTAAGATTTCAACAGATTAGTTCACTTCAGCCTTATACCTCCAGGCTACAAGCAAAGTAATTCCTTCTTCTGTGAAGCACTACACACTACTTTAATAAAGAATTGTTGCCCCCAAGATTAAACACTAGAGTTGCATCTTATGGTGTTTGAGTATGGCCTTACTGAAGCTTGTCTGTACAAAGATGTGTTCATTTCAGCTTCTCCCATTTTTGCAGAAGGCATATAAGAGTGGTGAGGTAGGTGTCACTTACTCTCAAAGTCAGCTTGTGGTCCTCATGAAAATCTGAGACACCATAAATGTGCAACATCCCTTTGTCTTCATAGGCCACAGGCAGCAGTGGTGCAAAGAAGTTCTGGGCAAAATAATGGAGCAGTTTCCACTTACCACCATACTCTAAAAATGGTTAAAAAGAAGAAAGACTGAAACTGATTGCAAGATTGCCTTGTCACACATTCCCTGCACGTGCTTTCTGGTCCTGCTATCAGCACTGCAACATACCCCTCCACCCTTTTTCACCTCTACCAAGTGCAAAGAATGACTGAAGGTACTCTTGCTTCCTTCCAGGCAAGGCTCTGCCCTGGAAAAGATCTGATGCTCTTTCATGCTTTGAACTTTCCTGAAAGTTTACATTTTTCTATGCCTCTATCCTATCACTGCTACACTGTCATTCAGTTCAAGGAAGCCTTAAAACACAAGTGACAAGGCTGGCACAGTGTACCACACACAAACCAAGCAGCTGGAACCATCTGTGCTGCTGAGAATCCAGACAAATGCACTGGCATTGCCACAAACTACACTACGATACAAGGTACTTACACAAAGTGCTCTCTTCCCCTTTTTCAGTCCTCTTTTCAGTTCTTCCTTCCATCAATAGCAATAAAGGCAAAAATAAGTTCCCGAACCAAAGACAACTCTGAGCTTGGCAAAACAAATTTGCCAACATCTAGAGGCAACACTTCCTCCATAGGAGTTAGTATTCATGACAGACACATGAGAAACAGTTTACACTGCTTCTTTAATGGAAAGCTGTACCTCATTATTTTAGTACTTTGAAAGTCTGCCATTAAACTGGAAAAACCATCAAACTCTGCATCCTCTCAAAAAAAGCAATTTTGCTTTTTTGCTTTGCAACACTGCCATGTAATCATTTTAAAAGAGAAGTTGCATCCACTGTCTGCATTTTAAGTTTGTCTTTGCTCAACCACTATCCAGTCATTGAAATGGCACTAAAAAGAAGTAGCAAGTCAACTGTACCATCTCACAAGGAAAGTTAGATACTGGTTTCACTCTTGTTTCTGGCTCTTTATTATATACAAGTTTAAAGTTAATGTAGGCTTTATGATGTATGGAGAATATTTTCAGAAAGATGTTTTTCTTGTAATGCTCTTAGTAATTACTCTCTTAGTTTTGGTTCTTGTACAAAGCTCTTAGCATTTTCAAACATCTCATAATTAAAGACTTATCCAGAGTCATCTTTAAAGGGTTGTTGTGGTTTTCCCAGGGGGACTTGAACATGCTTTGTCTGTACTCTACATAGACATGAATGAACTTCGTGAAGAATAAGTGCATTAGCTCTAGCTGAGCACCTTGTTCTCAGCAAGTTCACAACCAGCTAGCTCGGAGAACAAGAGACACTCCTATCTGCCTGGAAAACCCACACAAGACTGAACTGTGCTATGAGATGAGTCTGTTGCCAGCAAAAACACCACCAGCATTCAAGTCAATTGCATTGAAGCAAACCAAAGAGATAAGGCTGGAGGAAAACTTCAAGAGAGGCAGCTGCGTTTCTTCAAAACAGTTGATAAACGGATGAACATACTCAGTATATTGGTGCTTCTCAGTGGAACCATTTATGATGGAAATGACCTCTAGGATCGAGTTCAGCTGTTCATCTGCCAAGTGCACCATTAAACCTAAGTTCCCATGCCACACCTGTATATCTTGTAAATACCTCTAGGGATGGTGATTCCACCACTTCCCTGGGCAGCTCACTCTGATGCTTGACAACAACTTCGGTGAAAAATTTTTTCCTAAGATCCAATTTAAACCCCCACTGGCACAAGCAAGACTTGATGCCATTTCCTCTTGTCCTGTCATTTGTTAATGGAGAAAAAGGGCTGACCCCCACCTTGCTATGACCTCCATTCAGGTAGTTGAAGAGATCCATAAGGGGTGTGTGGGTGTGTGTGTTTGTGTGTCCCAGCCTTTTTTTCTCCAGTCTAAAACCCCCAGCTCCCTCAGCTGCTCCTCACAGGACCTGTGCTCCAGACCCTTCCCCAGCCCCACTGCCCTTCTCTGGACACACTCCAGCCCCTCAATGTCCTTCTTGTCGTGAGGGGCCCACAGCTGAACACAGAATTTGAGGTGTGGCCTCAACAGTACTGAATACAGGGGGACAAAACCCCTTCCCTACTCCTAATCACAGGCACAACCCAGGATGCCATTGGCTTTCCTGACCACCCGGGCACAGTTTGCTCATGTTCAGCCACTGTTGACCAGCACACCCAGGTCCTTTTCCACTGAGCTGTTTCCCAGCTACTCTGCCCCAGCCTGTAGGATTGCCTGGAGTTGTTGTGACCCAAATGCAGGACTCAGGACTTGGCCTTGTTGAACTCGTAAAATTGGCCTCAGCCCACCGATCCAGCCTGTCCAGATCTCTCTGCAGAACCTTACTGCCACTCCCACCCAACCTGGTGTAGATTGCAAACTGGCTGAGGGTGCACTTGAACCCCTTGTTCAGATCCTTGATAAAGATATTAAGCAGGGCTGTCCCCAGTACTGAGCCCTGGGAAATGCCAGTAGTGACCTACTGTCAGCTGGATGTGAATCCATTCACCACCACACTTGGCCTGGCCCTGCAGCCAGTTTGTTTTCATGGTGAACAGTGCACCCATCCATATCATGAGCAGCCAGTTTCTTCAGGAGAATGTTGTGGGAAATGGCATTAAGGCTTTGCTAAAGTCTAGACAGACAACCACAGCCTTTCCTCATCCACCAACTGTGTCACCTTGTCACAGAAGATCAGGTTGGTCAAGCAGGACCTGCCTTTCATAAAACTGTGCTGGCTGGGTCTGATCCCCTGGTGATATGAACAAAGGAATGTTCTAGCATTCCAAGGACACCTCCTGACAGAAAACATTGGTGGTTTAAAGAACAAATCTACCAAAAACAGAGGTAGATTCAACAGGTTTAATGACTCTTCAGTCATTAAACTTGAGAAGATGGGAGATTGGGACTGGGGATGGATTTTCTGAAACACAGTAAACTGGGGGGGCAGTAGCTTATCCAACAAACATCTATGGGCCTTGTATGAGAAATGGGTAGGGAGAGTCTGGGAGGGGTTGAAATCTCTAAAGCCTTCAGGACTGCTACAGGACTTCCTGGAATTTCAATTGTCAATTAATTAAATTGCCAATGCAATAGATGTTGCTCACTGCAGAATTCAGGCAGAACCCACCACAAGCTCAGTATGATCTGAGGTTTCAGTTCCTGTTGACTTGAATTTTTTTCCTGAGCTTAATTCACATGATGAAAATCTAGGCTTCAGCTGTCTTATATATGGAAATGAATAATGCAATTGATGTAGAGCAGTTTCTGCTACTTAGTGTAATATAAAATCCTGGGTTTTTTTGAATGGGTCCTTCTCTCAGTCTCTGCTGTGCCTTGATTTCCAACTGGATTACACAGCCATACTGCAGAGGGAAAGAGAGGAGGTTTGCTACCTAGGCAGCAGAGATCCTCAAAAAACCTTTACAGTGGAGAAGAGGACACATTCAGAGTGAACGTGGCATTGAACTTCCACAGGGAAACCCAAGCAAACAAAAACTTCAGCCAACAAACAAAATCAAACAAACCACACACTTACAAGTTTGCACCATTTCAAAACCCACTTTACTACTCTGACACCCATTGTTTTGGAATGTTTGAAACATCATTAGTCTGCTTAACTCAGATCAGCTTTTAAGACTGGTATTTCCCCTCCCAAAAACTAGAGAGTCATGTTAAAGAATCAAAGCTCAACTGCTGTAGCTGTTTCACACAGGAAGTGTTTTCCAAAGACAACTTTTCCAGCCAATGGATCTTGATAATACATTTGTCAAAGCAACTTTAGACATCAAGGAAAACTGAAGCTAATTACAAAGTCCATATTTTTCAGTTTTTCTGTTGTCTTGATTTCCATAGGACCAGAGCTACATTCCTTTATTTAAAAACAGGTAACTTGTATATCAAGTACACCATGCACACACGCAAAAAAAAGGGATGTAAAAAATCTGGAGGTCAAGAAGTTATAATGAGAAATATTTAGGTTTAAACTTTCGTGTTACAGACATGCATGCCCAAAGGCAACAGTCAAAGGTTATCTAAAATAGCCCTGGGTTGGTTTTCTTCTCCTTCCACCACATTTGAACTAATTCTTACAGAAATCCAAGTTCCTCAATTTTTCCTGACAATAACAAGGGGTTTGCAGTCTCTGTGGTATTAAACTTCAGAACAGGAAACTAAAATTAGGTTTGTAATGAGACCCCAGTACCCTTTTTTCTGACTCTTCCCTGAAGCCTTCTACACTGATGGTGGGAGTGCAAATAAACAGATCTCCCTGAAATGATTTTAAATTAATCACTTCACACCATTAAATGCAACCTGGGAAATATGCTGCTAGTTCTTTTCTCACCTCAGCCTCATGAATTCAGATCAACTATTCTCCATAACAGCCTGTACCAGGGCTCACCAGGGGCTCTAAATATTGAACTTGCAATAAAAGCCAGTTATCTGTTTGGGAGAATCTCATTACAACTGCGTTGGATACCTCAAGGTGACAGCTGTCTGGGAGTGTCACAGCACTCCACCAAAACATACTACAGAGATGCTAAAAGCATCCAACATGGCACAGCCAGCTTCACAGCTACGTGCTAACAGTCAGAACCCAGTTGTGATAAAAGATGTTTACTTCTGAGCTGAAGGCAGAAGTACTATGACACAAGTACTGTGCTGTGTTTTCATTCAACCCAAGCAAATATCTTAAAGGTAAAAGTTAAAAGGAGAAATATTTGCTACCTTCTTCCCTCCCCACCACGTGGAAACATTTCTGCTTTGTACCGGAAATTACGTAAACCCCTCCATGACTTTCAGCAAAGTGACAGATTTAAATAAAAGCACTCCTTGGTGACACTACTGTGCCATCTAATAAGATGCAGAAACGTGTTTTTGAAGTGCAAATAAAACTAATTTCTCCGAAGTCTCGCATAATTTCAGCCGTTAGCATTTCAAAATCCCTCTACCACACTGCCTAATTAAATGAATATTAAACCTTTCCTCATCTCACTGAGGGAATACAACAAAACAAAGGGACAGCTGTATCTCTGCTGAGCTTCTTTCTTCTACACCAACTTCAACAGCATATGAATAATTCAAGTATTTGATAAATATTCTACAGTGATGTCATCTCTGTACTCAAAAAGACATTTATGGTATCTACGACCATTACATCTATCAATACACCCTCCGTCTTTACAGAGGGACACTTTTCCAAGCATCTTTTTCTCCTGAGGCACTTAAAGCCTAAGAGCATCACTCACTGCTAGAACAATAAAAATGAACATTGTGATATTCCATTTCCTAATACAAGTCTAGAAAATCGAGAAAGATGAGCATCATAGCTGGACCACTGCCTTAACATTTAAATAAATTAGCCTCTTTCTTCTACTGGTTTTTCCTTTGTTGTTGCAATTATTTTGCTTGGATTAATGAAAAAAAAACCCCAAAAAAACAAAGAAAAACAACAAAAAGGAAGAGGGATAAACATCTCCCAGAAAAAGAGGGGGAGGGATGGTGTGGACTACTTTTTTCTCAAACCCAGGCCAAATGACATTTTGTTCCAAGGACACATCAAGACTGTCCATAGACAGTCTTGTTTTTTCTAGTTTGCTCATATTTTTTCACACCTGAAATGCTTAAATAAAGCTTTTCAAAACCAAAATATGTGAGAGAGAACTAAAATTGAAAGAGAATCTACCCAAGTCCTATACAGCTGCCATAGGACAGCTTCTCCATTTCAAAATGACTTCTAGACAAAATGTTTGGAACATGAAACACAGCCACTTCCCTCATGCCACACATTCCTCATTCCTCCTCTACTTCTTACTGCCTAAGTGACTTATCTCTTTATATGTTTGATTATTTTTGTGCTCTAAGAGGAAAAAAAAGAGTGTAAATAGCATATTAGCAGAATAATTTAGTCATGAGGAGTGATTCACTTAATCTGACACCAAGTCAGACATCAAATCTCAGCCAGTCATCTCCTTTAAAAAGCTTCTCATAAGCTATGATGAGTGAGGAATCTTAAGAAGTTCTATGAAAATCAAATTCATCATGGAGAAGATAATTCAGCACAGTTCTGAGACAGCTAAGGACACAATGAATCACATTTGGAGATAATCACCTCTCCCCCAACTGACTACAGAAGAAATCTAGATACTGAATTTTTACATCATAAATCCCATCCTGGAATGCATTTCTAAGGGATGGACAGAAATATATTCAAAGTTTGTAAAGCTACCCGAGAGACAGAGCACAGTTGTATTTCTTATTCTGATACTTCCAGATGAGGAAAATACAACTGGTAGCTGGTGCTTCTTACCAGCCTGTCACAAAACTTACCCAAAGAAGCCCATGAAGGAGCCTGCCAAATGTCATTGAGTTGCCAGTACAGAGCGCCCATTGTGTGTCCTTCTCCATTGATTATTTCACTTTGACTAAAACGATAGAATTCAGTTTCTGTCTTTATACACTGAGCCTGCATCACCTTGGTCAACAAAGAGTTAAAAAATATTTTTGGTATATTGGATTTTACTTTTTTTCAAAACATGTTTGAATACATTGATACACAATACAGACTTCACAGCAACAGCACATAACTTTAAACCTGAGCCCTGAGGAATATCCACCAGCAGTGCAGTGGATCTCTGCTTGAAGGACATCTATTCCTAGCAGCTCCCAACAGCTTTGCAGGCAGTACCCTTCAAGAATCTCATATGGGGCTACTTCCATACAGTGAAGACGGTCTTTGAAAGGCAAATCAAAGACAAGAAAAATAAAATTAAATTTAAAATAAATTTGGGGTTTTTTAATATTAATTTAAATTTAATTTAATTAATTTAAACCCCTCCAGAGTTGCAAAATTATGTTAAGCTGTGTTACCTTCAGTATACACGACCTTGATGTCTAAAGCCCTATACTCTGAACTTATATTCTCACTTAACAGTCAAAACTGTGCATCACAAAAGCAACTTTTTTTCAGCTGCACTCACACTTCTTTTCTCCTTCTCCATGTCATCTAAATACAACTTTTCAGAAGTTTTCACTAGCCAAGTTCTCAATGGATGCTAAACAGACTGCTATGTTCTTCACAGTTTATTATTAGGCTGGGGAAATATAAAGAAGTTCTTAAAATAAAGTTAAAAGCCTTTAGGACAGCCCAAAAAGTAAAGATATTACTTCTAGTTAACCACTAAAGCAAGTTTGCTTTCTTTATCCTTTTTGCTATCCTTATTTTGGTAGTAAATTGTTTAACCTGTTAATAAGGCCTTGACAGACTTAGCCTTACAGAAACTCTCACAGCTTTTTTGAGTCAGGACTTCATGGTGCAAGCTTTACCCCTTTTCAATTTCAACATCTATCCTTGTTCTCTTGTCAAGAGTGCCAAAAATTCTCAAGCTATTTTGTTTTTATATAAAACTTGCTGACAGCAGCTCTCAAACATTAGAAACTTAGTGAGTGTGCAGTTATTTCCATCAAGAGTGTTTCTGAAATTCTTGAAACACAACAAAAATTAACAGCACTTTCAATTTGCCTAATAGCATTAGAAAGTTACTTAGCATATTTTTGAAGTTGTACAGAAATCATAAAGAAACAAGCATGATGTAGAACTACTATGAATGAAGAGCAAAATATATCCTTCTGATTTGAAAAAACCCCAAATATATTCTCTAAAATATCAATATTTGAGTCTATAACAAAATAAAAGCTACTACCAATCTAACTAATAGAAAACTACATTATTTGGAAAAAATCTTGCTTCCAAAGCTCATGTGCTCCATGTGGCAAGAATCAAAGCAATGAGCCTACAGAGGCCACATGAAGAGCAAAACATCCCCACCCTGGAACAGGGAGTAACATGCAGCACTGGAAATAATCTTGCATACCATGAAGCCCAGCACATCCCTGCATCTTCCCCCAGCTACATGAGCCCAGCTGGAGAGAAAGGCCAAGGAAGCACATACTGACAGACCTTCTCGCAGCTGAGACAGTTTCTCAGTAATTCCCTGATTATTCCAGGCCTTCTATCATGAAAATTGGAGTCTCTCTACAATAAAAGAGAAATAAGCTAGCTCCAAATTAAACTGGACTCTCTGGAAACTTTCTGTATGATGTAACACTCCCTAAGCGACCAGGTCCAGTTCTAACAGTAGACAGAATTTAATGGAACAAGTACTGACAGCTACTTCTATGGAAGACATCACTGTTACCTGAGTGAGGTAAATCATATCTTTGAACTTCTTTACAGGATCTGGGCTCTGGGGAAGCTTGAAATGACGCCCAATCCCTTGAAGCATCTGAATATTGCCACCTTCATGGTGCTGCCGATGGAGAGAAAAATTGCTTGTGTAGGACCAGTCCTCAGGGGAGGAAACCTTTTAAAAAACACAAAAGTAATGAATGAAAAGGTAGAATGAACATTTAATGACAGCCAGAATACTGAGGAAAGGATATCCATTACAGCTTACTGACATAATTCAAAATCTTAAAACTAGTAGTTTATTTCTATAGTGCCTCATGCAGTCATGCAAGGATTTTGAATCACTAACACCCTTTGCTTACACTCCCTGTACAAATAAATGAAAACACACATTGCTATTGAACCCAGCAGAGCAACTTTTGGGTCAGTGACATTTAACTCCTTTGTCCTAAGGTTTGGGTTGGCCAAGGACCTCAGAGTTTTGCTTGCATTCATAGTAAATCAGAAACGCCCTAGATTAATATGGAAGAATGTAATCCAGTCAAACACATTTAGGTATAAAAGTTATGTAAGTCAGTAGGGCTATAAATACTAATAATATGTACATACATTTTCAAAACCTGCCTCTGATTATAAATGATCATAAAACAGCTTTTTTCAACTGAAGACAACACAGCATAACTCATTAAGTTATTATTGCCAAGTTTTCATTGTAATTACTCTCTCTAAGCAATCTTATTTAAATTTCCTTTTAGGCTGGATTTAATAATTTTTATTGTTATTAATATAATCTTCTGATTATGCTTCAGATGATGTGCTTTGCCCAGTAAATCGAAAGGAACATTCTGAACTCCTTTTGGCTGCATGCACGAATATCAACATCCCTCCCTGGACAAATGCACAAACAGTATGATATTTCTCTGCTCCACTTTGATAAATAAGAGAACATATAATATCTAAATTTAACAGAGACAAAACCAATTCCTCTTACATGCAATATGTTTAGAAATAAATTATTTAAATGAAAGAAATTGGTAAAAAAATAAAAATCCAAACATTATAAAAAAGCTTTTCAGCTTTTGTCATGTTTCTTCTCTTTCTCAAATGTATCTCCCTAGACACCACGAAAGTAAACAGATGTTAGCCAATCATTACTGAGCAATACATTAAATAGAATTACTACCAGAAATAACAGTTTTGTAATAGTCTCTCATCCAAACCAGGTTCGTCTTGCAACATCAAGGTAAGTATACTGAACAGTGAGGAAGGAAACAGAAGGTTTCATCCCCTCCCTCCACAGCAGTACACACTTCTCTCCTACTTGTGTCATATCACACCTAACAACACATTACTACAGTTTGGATGCAGAAGTTTGTTAGGAAGAGATTCATTGCTCTCAGTAAATGAGGGTCAAGGGGACAGGAAGGTGTGGAAGCCCAGCCTTACCTTTTCAATTGTACTGAAGGAAGGCCAGGATTGAAAGCCATACTCGGAAGCAAAACGAGTTTTAGGATAAACTGTCCAGTTCCAGCAGTCACTGTTGTAGTCATAAAAGTGTGTGTCACCATAATGGGTGTCATAAGGATCCTGGGAGAGCCAGCCTTCTTTAACTGACTCCAAGCCATTGGTGGGACTGGATGCAACAAATGGACGACTCTTATCTTCCTGGGATTTAAAAAAAAACAAAACAAAAATACAACCACCTTACAAAATAATTGGTTTTTACCATCTGAATACATAGATCAGTTTTTGAAAAGAGGAGTTTGGGGGCAGCAAGACCATGCTTTTTCCAAATTTCTGAGTGACTACCTAGGAAACATTCTCTTTTTATGTCCTAACATTCATCATCTTTACTTGCTTAATTAGCTTCTTACTTATGTTCTTGGAGGACAGCTGGGCATGATTCTGCTTGCTCTGCTGTTCTGAGGGATTCTCTCCTCACATCAAGAGATTTTCTATCTTTATATGCCTCTAAATTCTTAATGAAGGCTATTTAAAGTGTGCCTTGCGAAATATATACTCAAGGAACATTAATATTTGAGTATTGTGACTTATTTATGGAAAATTATTATATTTGCAGTGTTTTTGCAGGAACAAGACTATGATTTTCTTCTTTCTTATTAAACAGTCACCTAAATTTAGTCCTAACAAATCCAAGGTGTTCTGCTTTTAATGCTTGCATGGTATCATTACAGGTTATTGTCATTTTAGCTGGCTCTGCATGCTAAGATAGATGAGACTACCAGAAGGATTACATTTCAAATTGTTCAGAGCTGTCTTTATTTATAGCCTCAGTAGACTTAGAATACGAAATATTTTAACAGTTGCCTCCAAAGTACTGAAGGAATCCTCTTGCAGGTATAATTCATTTAACACCCCACTTCTAGTAAGATAGAAGCCCGAGTTAGTTATCAGTAACAAGTTACTCCAACTGGCTCGAACACAGCAATGCACTCAGACGTGCTTCATTTTAAGAGACAGTCCTGTTTCCCCATCTTCTTCTTTCTTTTTTCTTGATGTGAATAATTAATAATTAATTGAAACAATTTACTAGAGGAAATCCTGGATTCCTTGAAGTCTTTAGCTCAAAGATAAAAGTCTTTCCAAGCTACCCAGTCCAATACTACTAGTAGTTACAGGTTTCTTCAGCTGGCTTGTATTACACAGGACATGAAGTTATCTCCCTCTATGGTTCTTTTTTTTGCACTCAAAATAGTTATTCTATGGATTTAAAATAAAAATAGGTCCATCTTGGATGGCAATGCTGCATAAGTATCAAGACAGAACACCTGACTTTGTAGCACAGACACTTGCCACCCAACTCATGTAGTTAATCACAAAAACAGCACAGCATACCTTTGCACTCAGCTCAGTACAGAAAGCTAGAATCTCCTCTAAGAGGAGAAATAAACATACAAAACCTGTGCAAAATGGGTAGTGCCAAATCACACTAGACTTCATCAAGGATTCCAGGTGTTTGTGGACTGCATACTCACGGTTTTGATTTTATATCAAAATATTTTACTTTGCCTTCATATACTGTAGAATACCAATATTTTGTTTACAAAATCAATACAATGACTACACAGCATGAGTTTGTTGTTTAGCATCACTTTTGCTTTACCTGCTTAGAACAAAAAATATTCAGTCACATACTGAAGAAATAACATCCTTATAGATTTCTTCAATTGATATTCAAAGACCTAAGGATTGTTAAAATGCTTTTCACAGTATTCTTCAACAAAATCAGGATAAAGGAAACCTGATCGTCAATGCAGGAACGAAAAAAGAAGCAAGATCTACTACACTTCCAGGTCTTACTTTACACATCACAAATGTTAAAGTAATTTATTTATTTTTTTTTTTACTTTTGAGAATAACTCTTGAGTTTAGAGAGTTGTTTAGAAGAGCTTGGAAAGGGTGATTTCTCAACATGCTCTTTCTCATGTCTTAGAAGTATTAAAAGGAAAAAAAGGAAATCCCAACTTGCTCAAACATTAAAAGCTTTTGCCAAGCCATATCCTCCTACAGTTTCTTGAGATTACTTACACTAAGAACTATTTCACGTATGTTCTTCACATAAAGGGTCACGTAGTCGTTGATGTAGACTCCTATGTCAGGATAAGGTATAGAGAACCAGTTGCTTGCAATTGCTGCTTCATTTTCATTGTTACCACTCCAAATAATAATTGATGGATGAGATTTTAAACGTCGTACCTGAAATAAAATTTAGAGTTTCAGAAGTCAAGCAAAATTACTTAACAATGTTTTGGGTTTCTTTCTTTTTAAATCACTTTGTTACTAATTGAAATACAAGTCCTCATGTATATTACATATGCTAAGCCTACAATTCCCATTTTTTGCCACATGACTCAAAGTTTTGTAATATACACTTTCAGAAGGGAAAACTTCCAATATGCTAACATACATCTGCCTTATGCACATATGTGCCATCCACCTCTACTCAGCCATGTGTGTAAGATAAATTCTGTGCAGTCTCCTTGACTGCAAGCAGGCAGAGGAGCTCAAGAAGATGTAGCAAGGTTACATTTTGTGTCTGCTACATAAAGGTACACTAACAAACACTTCCAAACAACCATTTTTGGAAAGCAAACTTATACAGTCGGTCAATCAAAAACAGATAATGTGCAACAGAGCTTTGACACATGGATAAAATACCTGATGAGAAACTTCTGCTCTTACGGATTCTAAATAATTCTGGTTGGTTGGATATAGCGCACATGCAAACATAAAATCCTGCCAAATCTACAAGGGAAAGGAAAGATTTTAAAAAACTGGCAGCAAGTTACTCTACATAATTGAAAAATATATGGCTATTGGGATGCACAATCCTTTGTTCAGACAGCAAACAAATCACATTCACCATGGGGCTCAAGCATGTGTATATTCCACCGTGGTTATCCTTGATATCAGGGTTATGAAATATTTACCCTTAGGAATCAGAGCCTGACAGTCTACATTGAGGAGTGGAATACTGCTCAGCAGATGAAGTTCTGTGAGTTTCAACAGAATAATCAGGAACATGAATATGGAGCAATTTGCAGCTGAACAGAACAAAAATTTCATATTTATTTACTATTTTGTAGGTGTAACACCAAATCCCCATTATGTAATGAGAAGAGACAATAATTCTTTTGATGTGGCACTGAGCACACTTAACAGATTTTAATGTGTACTTGCTAAGAAAACACCTCCATACAAAATTATCTTAAAACCAGCAAATCTTACCCAGTAAGAGGGGCAAAAACAAACTAGATGCTCTAAAAACACAGTGATCTCTCTCTTCAAAGAAAGATCAAGTAGGTACTAATAGAGAACAGAGAGCCTTTCAATTCAAGAACAATAAACTCCATTTGTACCTTGCAGGAGAATTACAAAAAGGGGAAAGGAAGCCCAATGAGATGGCTAAGATTTCTTGTTTACCTGTTTTGCTTTTTAAATTGCCGTAACCTTGAGGCTCCTTCTAGTCTACCTCAAATGTTAATGAAAAGATCTCTAGAAGGAGCACCTTAACCCACAGGAGTCTGTAGGAGACTCCACTTTTCTGAATGCCATGCTAGATAGAGAGAGACAGAGACCAGCTCCTCATACAATTACATTTTTATTGCATCAAGAATATCCTTTTCCACAGCTCTTTTCAGCACACATTTCCTAAGGAAACTGAAGATAAAGAATAAGACAGTGGGGAATAATGGAGCCCTTAGTAATTGTTACAATCCTAACACTTACAGAAAAAGCAAAGCTATTGCTGCAGAATCACTGATAATCCTTTAGTGACTGTTGGTGTTAAAACTCTCTATTGAAAGAAACTTTTTCTCACTATTTCCCTCAGTGAGTCATCACTGGTTTTCCTTAAGCACAGTTTGACTCCAATGCACGTTTAAGCCTTTGCAAGACCATCAGAAGAAACAAAACCAAAAACCTCCCCCAATGCCCGTTCCAGAATAAGGGTCTGATTTTCTGCATTTACTTGATATTTTGGCTGTTAAATAGGATCTAAATCTTGCACTGAGCACTGTACAGACACAGATCTAAATGGCCTACTTAAGGTGCCTAGTGTCAAAAATTAAAGAACTGTAAGTGCTCAGAAGCCTTGAAAATCAGGACACTCATTGATGACTAAAATAGATGTAACTTTTTTTTTGCAAATACACACATCTGAAAGCAGCGAGGTATGAATTCTGTTTCCCTGCTTCTTATGGTGTCAACTAAGACCAGCCACACTTTTTGGGATTTTTAATACCAGATGCAACTTGGTCTTCATTCATCTATTCACTACTTCATCAAAACGTATTAATACGTGCCTCCAAGCTTATATAATCAAAGGTACTCATCTATATTAGTGATTGCAGCAGGTGTTCACCTTACAGCTATATTTATATTCAATTACAGCTTGTTCAAAATGGCCCCTTGGATAATGCCTTCCATGTTTGTCTTTGGGCCAAATGAAAAATTTGAACCAAAACCACCCAAACCTTTTCAGCTATTGCTAAAAAGAAGAAAATACTTTTAAAAGAAATAAAATTCATTTCCACAACTGAGAAAAGCATAGCTACCTTCTAACTAACAGCGACCTACTATAAAGTCTCCAAAATATCACTTCCAGATTCAACACACCACCTCTGTAATCAGAAACCATTCAAATTAAAAAGAAATTGAAGAACTCCAACCAGCCAAACAAAAAATTGGGTTAATCTCACCTCCCATGTTGATACTCTACAATGTCCTTTGGAAAGATGGTTAGAACTTATGTATTAATTCTCCTTTTTTTTTTTTAATTTAAAGTGGATTTTCATTTACAAGTTCTTGTAAGTTTTTAAGTAAGTATTCTGTGTTTATTGTTTTTACCATTATCCCTATTTCATCACAAATATCGTAAAATTCATCTTGTTCATATACTCCTCCTCCCCAAACCCGAAGGGCGTTCATGTTAGCATCTACTGCAGACTTCAGGAGTAGCCTCAGCCTGTCAAATACACAAAGGAGATATACCAGTGAAGTTCTATAACTTAAGAATTTCTAAGGTTATACAAAAAGAAGAAACGAACGCCCCTACCAAAAGAACACACAAATCTAAATCATTAGCAGGCAATCTAAGACTTACAACTAACAGAAAGTATCAAAATACTCTAGTTTCTAAACCTGCATGTCTGGACAGAGCTCTCAAAAAGCAATTTTTTGTGCAGAAAAAATTGCTTGGTCCTGTTAACACAAAATAGATGGAGTGACACATGTGTAAGTGCTTTTCAGAAGTACTGGCAGAATCAGATTTAGAAATACTATGTTTTATTAATCATGTTGGTCTTTTCTCCTCTGATATTACTTGCTTTGTGTATCAATTACTTGAATTCAAATTCTCTTTAAACACAATCAGGAAAGTTCATTTTCTTCTTGAGTTCCATAATGCATAGCGAGAATGGGAGGAGAAAGACTGGAGATCTCATTTTAAGGGTTTTAGGCTCCAGTCATTTATCCTTAAATCATACTGGCAGCCTGCAAATTGCATGTGAATGGACACTGCAGCACACCCTGTTGTCCTGGTCTCCAATAACCCAGAGCAAAGCTTAGTCCAAGCACAGTACAGCCCCCATCCCACCTGCATCTCTGGGGTGCTGTGCATTGAAATCCAAGTAGCCTAGATGAGATCAGGAAAAGCAGAGAGGCCCTATGCATCTGTGTAACCTTGCATGACATAGGTTAGGACATGGATGAAGTGCACATCCTCTGACTACCAATGGATGAGTCCAGACAATAAGGTCAAACAACCTGAGGATCATCCCTAAAAATACCCAAAAGGCCAGTAACTATGAACTGCAAACAATCACCTTCCCACCAGTAATTGCACCTACATACCTTGAACATCACTCAAATCTCTTCACATTAATTAAGCCCTAATTCTGAAGCCTCCAACCCACAACAATTATTGTTCTACCTTGAAAGTTTTATCCACTAAATCCAACCTTTGATAAAAGATGTAGAGAGAATCAGGAGGAGGAAAAGATGATCCTTTATCCTTAGGAAACATCAAATGTGGCTTACATGTCATAGGTCACTCTGTCCTGGAAAGAATCTGCTGGAACCCAGTTTGAGCCCTTAATAAAAATGGGTCGGCCATTGATTCTGAAGTAGAAACTCAGACCTGGTGAGCCAGGAATAGGCTCCTGAACAAGTTCTACTGTCCGAAAATAAACCTGTGAAGACATGAAACTTAGATTTAAAGCTGACAAAAAATGAATTAAAATGGCATAAATAAAGAAAACCATTACAAAAGGGATTGAACTGAACAATAACAGCTTAGAATTTGTCAAGGAGTCAAAAGACATGGTCTCATCTCTAAATTCCTGCTTGCATAAAACACACGGTAACAGTACTAGAAAGAATTCTTTCAATAAGCCTGTTCACTTTTTTAAATTGCTATCATATTAAGAGAGAGCAAGAGAAAGCATGAGCAAATAACTGTACATGTGCATACAAGTATGTAAGGAAGAGAGAGATGAAGTTTAGTTGCTGCAGAATTCAGTCAAAAGTCCAGCTGAAGGCCAGAAAGAGGAATACAGTGACTGCACCAGATCAGAAACACCATGTAATCTGATATTTTCTCTATCAGGAAACTGCAGCAGCTTAGTTTTAAGTCTTGTCCCTGAATGCCTAGCAACAGATTCACGTAGTACAAGCAAGATCTTCTTCTTCTACTGCTCTGAAATGGTAACTTTTTAATAGGTGTAACAGTGAGAGAAAAAAATAGCCATGCAAATACAAATGCCAGTTTGCAAGTGAAGAGCCCTCTGGCCATCACAGCTGTGTTAGAACAGCATGATCAGCAATAATGTTTCAGAGAGACCAGTTCAGCTAAATAAACACTTACTCTAAGTATTAAAGATAAAGCACATCTCAAGAAGAAGCAGAGGCCAAACTTTTAGAGTTGCTCTTTTAGCTTAATATATGGCATTGTGATGCTGAAAAAAGAAAACATTCCTTTTTCCTGTTGCAGGTGGAATTAAAGCTCTCAGAAAATCGTTCCAGATGTTTTCTGGGACTTCACTACAAGCAACAATGGCGCTCTGAGGGGTATCCTGACTGCACTGACACAAACAGCCATGAGGGAGCAATTAATGCACTGCAACAGCACTGACCCCTTATTTGTACAGGCGCCTTCCCCACCTGCCCTATCAGCTCCTGCACACCTCCAAACTCTTCCAGAAAACAGCTGTTTCAGGGACACTTGAAACATTTCCTCCTGCATCCTTGCTCCAGTTCAACTTCTTTAAGTCAGAAGAAAACACTTTTTCTTTCTTGTACCTGTTGTTCATAATCATAGGGAAAAAACTGGAAAATTAAATAAAGGGAAAGAAAGTTAATAGTAAATTTTAGCCAAAACAGGTTTGGGTCAGAAGGGCAGGAACCTAATTTTTTCTAAACCACTCCTAAGATAGCAACCACTCCTCTCAGATGACTATTTGCTTTACCTTTTCAAAAGGTCAGCTTGTAGAGTACAGCCTGTTCTCTCTGCCACAAGCTTCAGCTGAGGCAAGTATCTGTCAGTAAATCAGGCTAAAATTAACCTAGTTAAGTGCAAATGATACACTTGTCTTCAAGAAAAAATGCAATTCTTTATTTCACACACCAGACGTGGCTGTAGTTCAAAAGGGAAATTATTAATCCTACTATGGGACTGCATTTTCTGAACGTTCATCTTATCAAAAATCACACATAGAGACAGAAAATCGTTTCTAGCATTAGGGAAGAAAAAGAAAATCACCATTTTTTGCTTCCTCTTTGGTGCTTCTAAGTTAACTGGACAATTATTAACCAAATACCTGGATAGAGACAATGCATGTGACAAACCAGATGCATTAGTGGATGTTGCAGATCACTGAGCTCAACCTAAACAGCTCTGTATCATGGCAGTGACCATTCCTAGAATTTTGCAGACTTAGTTTAACATGAGAAGTTGAATTTAAATAATAACTAATGTTTCATACAACTTTCACAGTTACTCTAACTCCTGAAGGCTAAAAAAGAAAAACTACAGTGTGAGTAGCACTAGCAAAAAAGTTCTGACCTTCCTACAGAGAATTCAATTACTCAGAGAAAAACACCTCAGTCTCCATTGCAGCTCTTATTTTATGGAACGAAGGGGCAGTTGGAGCTGCCAAAGTATTCGGGATGTCATCAGGCAGGTTGGGACTGTCTCAGAGTGCATTTGTAATGGAGTACTTATATTAATAACAGAAGTAATGTGATATTGCTTTATTCATGCTGAAGTGGAACTCATGCAACTGGCCAAACCCAAGGCAATCGGAGAGGCTGAAACATTCAGGCAGGACCACCCAGACAGCAGGAGCAAGAGCAAAAGCTCCTTAGCCTCAGGTCACATTCCTAGGCCTTCAAGATTCAGTACAACCCCAGTTCCCCCGGGGCCAAATGGTAACAGCACATCTTCCTGTTCCTACTACAGCTTCCTTCTGCTTTGGGGGGTAAAAGAACAGAGACAACAACCACCTTACATGATTGGCTACGTGCCCTTCTGGCTACCAAGACCTTGGCCACCTTGAAATCTGTCTGATAGACTTGCTGCCTGAGGGCTGAACATTTCTCTCAGTCTTGGGGCACGCACAAAAGGCTCTCTAGCCACCAAAGACCATCAGCTGGTTCTGGGCATAATTATGAAACAGATATCTGTCTTTTAAAGGCACATACAAAGGCTTTGTACGCAGTTAAGTGACCTGTGGATCACATTTGGGATTCCCATATTTAGCAGTAGGAAAAGTAGTAAGGATGAAGATGCCTAGAGCTTAAATAAGATCACAGAACAACCCAGCGACATAACAAATTAGCACACAGCATGAAAGTGGTGTGAAAACTACAAAGCCAGAAAGAGAGCTCTGGAAGTCATGCTAAAATGCCTGGGGAAAGAGTGTGTAAAGGGATGGAGGGAAAGATAGAGGCTTTTTTTTTCTGCTACGCTGAACAGGAATGAATAAGTACTTCTCTGAGCCAAAAAAACTCCCAGCACTGCTGGCTAGAGTGCTATAGAGTGCTCCTGAAAGTATATACTGAAGGCTACCCAGAAATATTCCCAAAGGATTAGTTAATGTTTTGAAGACTACTCTAGCATGTCAGAATCCAGAAAGTAGTTCAAGCTAGGAGTAGCCAAATCTGACATAAGATCAAGCTGTGCCTTCTCACATGTACAGCTCTCATGCTTCAGTTTTCTCCTGTCCAAAGTTAAGTAGATACTCATATGGACACAAACCATTTGTGAGATGCCTCACCACTGGTTTTTTTTTGGGAGGGAAAAAGGGTGGAAGTAGGAAATTTATTCCTCCTGAACAGAGTCAGTACAACATGGACAACAGAACTAACAACAAAACAACCTTCAGAAGCATTAATCCCTGATTGTATCTCCTGAACTACTCAAAGTTCTTATTAAATATATGAATGTTGCTATTCAGTCCTGCTGACAGGAGAGAAAATTATGCTACAACATGAAAAAAATGCATACGGAGCCTTTTTCCACTCATACAGCTCTGAGTGGGGGGCGATGGTGTGTGTGTATGCATGTGTCAGAATCTAAGACAAAGAATGACAACACACAGGAAGGATGACCAGAATTCACACTGTAAGCTGTAAAAGCTTCATATGCTGGTTAATTCACAATGCTCACTATGTGGTGCATTTGCTTTTTTCCCCCTATTTCCCCTTAAGGAGAAAAAAATAAGAGCTTCTGTTGTAGACCATGAAGTCCCTATGATCATTTGAGCTCTATGAAATATTCTGATGACACAAGCACCCAAATGGAAATTATTAGCTTTCCTATCATTGTGCAGTTTTCACACAGTAATAATAGAATTTTCCTTTTTAGAAGCTTTTATAGTCATATTTCCTACAACCAGTTTTTCCAAGCGTAATATGCTGTGTTTTCTTGGTATGGGTTTTTTAATTGTTTCAAAATTAGAACACTAATAACAGCAAAGAATTATCATTGTGACTTCATAATCAAACTAGGGGCTAGTCCTATATAGACTACAATACCAGAAGCTACTAGTTTTTCTTAAGTTTTTTTCACAGGAACAAATGTTACAACAAATAGCAATTTAGATGCCTGGTGACCTGATTAGTTTTTAGTAAAACAATACACACCAGAAACATCTAATAAATGCATATATTTATGTCGTTGTTTCCACATGTTCATGGCATAAGGAGGCCAGTCTAATCTCTAGGATTCTTCTTTTTAATGGACAATTGGAAATCACCTCTTCTAGGCTTCTTAGTAAAACCAAAGAGATAATCTAAGAGCCAGTGTGTTAGGGAAACCTCTATGCAAAAATCCCTGAAAATAACTTTTATGGTTGTATTTAAGACTTTACCTTTTCTTAAGCCTGAAGCACATCTACCACGTTAGGTTTTTAGGATTGTGTCTATCCCATAAATTTTTACAAACTGAATTAGCAAGAAAAATCTCAGTAATAAACCTTTGATTAATCTTATAGAAATCTAAAAGGAGTTTTCAGTGCATGATACAAAACCAAGAGCATAGTATATCAAGTTTAGAAGTGCTGTTTTCTTTTCATAAGCTAGAAAACTTAAGAAGTAAACATCTTTTCTCTTCTGAGGTTTCTGGTTAACTGTAAGCCATCTTGCAGCCACAATATAAGTAAAGGTATCCATATGAGCTAAGACTACCAGAAAACAGGTAGCCATACATTGTGACATTAAAAAACCTCATTTCGCATTAGCATTTTCACATGCATATTACAACTCCGCAAAACATTTAAGAGCAGATGTCCTAACACTAACGGTGCAATGCCAGATGTAATTAAACTTTAGGGCTCACCTTTGAAAACTTCTCAATCTGGCATCCTGTCTCCATCATAAAAGTTGTTGTCATGTTGTATCCAGTTTGCTTTCCATGCCCATTTGGCCACCAAGCCTCCACTGCAGCACTCTTGAACATACAAGGGAGAAAGTCTGAGCAACATGTATAACAAGAGGTATCAAATGCACCTGGGGCTCAGGTATCTTTGAGTGAATTACCACAAGCCTAACAAAGGTTTGTGCTTGAGCTATACTAATGCTTTCTCCAGCTGAAGCTCTGAGGTGAAAATCATTTGAAGAGAGAAGTGTGATTTCTTCTGCTGGAGTCCAGGCTATCACTTCATTTTGTGTCCATAACAGGCCATGAGCATGCCAGGATGTGCATGCACACATCTAGCTGCTACTCCTCAGCTAAGGTACACTGACACACTATTCCTCCAAACCCCAAATATCTGTGCCATTGTTTACTGAGCTCTATATCATAGACGTCCTCTCACTGATCCTCTTACCTATCCCAAGCAATATTCAATATACAGCAGTAACACTTTGCAACTGGGACTCTGGTAATATGTGACCATACTGACTACTTCACTTATGTCAAGCTTTTAAGTCAAATTCTTTCATTCATTCGGTGGTTTTCTGCTTTGTCTCTCTGTGCTTCCTAATCGCATCATTAGTACTCCGTAATTTTTACAAACATGAAATATAATCTCTAAGAGAACAGAATATTTATCTTCACTCTAGCAGCCTATTTCTGCCACTCATTCCTGTTGCCAGAATTTTCCAGTTGAGTGTATAACACAAAAAGTGTGGAAAGAAAGCAATAATGCATGCAACCAAACAATGGAGGGATCAGCAGTGAATATATCATGCAAATCATGCAAGGAGTGCCTCAACCTTTTCAAACAAACTGAGGCCAGAAAGAAGCCCAATAATATGTTTTGCTGTAGCTATACTTGGACACAACCATGAATATATCATGAGTATATCTTTCAGCTTCTGTGATACAGAATTATCATAACTGCTTGTGAGGAAGTACTGATCTCTGTGCTGCATGGATACAAACGGAAGCACAGACTCAGCGTGCGCCTCCACAAGGGAGTGTTCGCAGCTGCCTGGAACGACTGGATGTCTCATTGGCCACTAATGATGTCACCCCTTTGCTGATAAGCAAAATGCTGTCATATTGGCAGCACAGCACTTTGCATGGCAACTGCAGGAAGGCTGATACACATCTCGGAGATATGCACCACTCCAACACCTACTGACTCCACAACCTAATCTGCAATAAGCTCTTAACGAGAAATAAATTTCTGGTGAGGTCTCAATATCTAACATGCACCACACAAGTCTGTGTACAGAGTAAGGCCTCCGTTAGCCTTATCAACACCTGAGAACACATTTCAGGGCTTCTCACAAAATCAGCTGGTGTGAATTCATGCAGCAAAGCCTTTTCCGCACAAAGAATAATGAAACACTGCTGCCTTTGCTCTGAAGGAAATGCTTCCTTCCACACTTGTTAGCTGCACTATACTAACAGATCTCTTCTGAGTCTCAGGTGGGACAACTAAATAAGCAAAAATAAGTTTTGAAACTTCAGTTTGCAGTGCCTGTTTAACATAATCCATTAAAAGGCTAAGCAGAGACTAATGGCTGTTTTAAATGAAACTGGGTATTGGTAATTGCTCGTGTAACTTGCATGTCAGATGACAACAGTAACAAAAACGGTATGCTTCTATGCTTCTGTGTCAAAATAAAACAAAGCACATAAGTCACAGAGTGTGCATACTGGAATATAAACACCCTGCTTGCTTCCTCTCCATGCAAACAACTGACAAGTGAACTCAAGAGCACACACACAGACAATGCAGTCAAACAGGGAAAACAGACGCAGTGTGCAACAGCAATGCAGAAAATCAGCAGAGCCAGTAAAATATAGAAAAGCAGACCCTCTAATGTTATTAACTGCCAGTATTGTCAGAAGCCCCAAATTCCTGCTCACAGCACATCACTCACTCACTCACTCACTCACTCACTCACTCACTCACTCACTCACTCACTCACTCACTCACTCACTCACTCGTGTGTGCCCTGCAGCAGTGAAGCTCCCTTGGAGAACTCCATCAGGTATGGAGCCCCCTGGCTGGAGCCTGATTTTTTAATTGAGTTTGCTTCTCATTAGAGCACCTTCTACTAGTCAAAAATTCCTTCTGAGATTTGCCTATTCAAAGGACTACAAGCAAATGTAAGCAGTATTCTCCACAAAATTTTCTTTTGCTTTTATACCTGAAAGAGTATCTACTGAGAAGTTTGCGGAATGTTTCCTCTCTCTCCTGGGAGAATCATATATATTGTAGTATATTCTGGTCAATCAGTCCAGTAAACAGTAGCATTTGAAATACCTGCTGCCAGTGAAGTGAAGTGACATAGAGTATCCAAAGCTTATTTACCTAAATAACTCAAAAAAAGGTCACTTAACAGTGGCCCGTGATTACATAATCTTTTTCTAAGGCTTCATCACCTGTTTGGCAGTGAGCTACATAGCTCCACAGACACCAAATTTTAGAAAGGAAAAGAACTGTTCTACCCTGTAAGGGATACAGAACGGTTGTCAAAAGTCAGGAAGAGAGTAAGGAGTGGGAGGGAGGCCTAAAACTGGAATGGAGGCAGAAAGTCACACTGGAAACAAGGGGAAACATTTTGCAGCTGAAACAGCTTTCCACACACACCTCCTTACCTTGTTGATGTTTACAAGCAGCACAATGCTGCCTTCTCCAGGTTGAAGTTTCACACTGAACGTTTGCTGCGTTTGTAACTTGGGAATGTTCACAGTCACAAGACCTGCAATTGTCTTGGAGCTGACTACATCAAAAATAGACTCAACTTCAAGATACCAGTGCTGAGCACTCTTTGCTAAGTGAAGGGGGAGAAAAAAATGGGAATTTAAGGATTATGTTTATGTACCTATTAACATGACCTTTCATAAAAGAAAAAAATTCAAACACCGAAGATTAAATTTAACAATTCTCAGGCTGAACCAGCCTACATGGTTAATCTGCTTATTTAGTGTGTTTGACATCTGAGTCCAACGGAAGAGAACAATGCAGTATGATTTATGTTTCTTAACTCTTTTTTTTAATTCAGAAGATATCCAGGCTTTTTTTTTTTTTTTCGGAGTACTATACAAAAGTCAGAGACCTTGACACCAGTCACTTCATTAGGAAGGAATTTTTTCCCACCAACTCCCACAGATATTGTATTTGCTCTTAGTCAGCACTCATATGAACATAGTACTCTTTGGGAAAGATTGTAATCACAAGCCAGTACAATCACTTTCGTCAATGAAACAAAAACAGTATTAACAGAAAACGAGCCGAATTCATCCCAGACTCACTGGACAAAATGAATGGAGCTATGCTGGGGATGAATTGGGCCCACTGTGTCTAGACTTGACGGGCTATGTCTTTATGTCCCTTCTCCATCCATGTGTCGTGAAAGAAACAAGTTAATGACGTCCCTGAGATCTCTCTGAAGTTACCACAGAGCATCCTCTCTTCTACAGAGCTTACTGAATAAGGAGAGCCAGGGTCAAGGGTTCTCAAGATCTATGTGTAAATTTGCCACTAAATTCAGCAACTGAATTGCCTAGCTACTAACATAGCCTGGCTAATCCTATGTTTCAAATATTACAGATTAACATACAAGCAAAAGCAAATAAAACAGAAAACAGGAAGACCTAGAACTAAGACACATTTTGTATACCCGCACTACTAATAACTCACTTTCTCTTTTCATTTATATAGCCTAGCTCTCCTTCCTCCACAAGAGAAAGAGAGCTCACTCCAAAAAACAAAGAATTGCATTCAGCCCTGCTGTGATTTTCACTGTCTTTCACAGACTGAAGTGCAATGATTGAGTTCCCAAGTTTATATTATACCCAGCATTACCCATTGAACACCAGTTTTCTGAAGTGTGGTAAAGGTTAAAAAGTACCCACCCTACAAGGGTCAGATATTACAGTGCATTTTTCCTCACTTATAAAAGCATATAGAAATTCCAATCCATTCTTAACTGCATGAACTGTGGAGTCTAGGCAGAGAAACCAAGAACAATGAATCTTTTATAGACTCATGGTCAAACGGCTATGACACTAAATCTGACGAACAACAGAAGTACATATGCAGCTTAAATTCAGGTTGTTAATTTACTCTTTCAAACGCTATTATATTTGAATACTAATAAGCTCTTGCTCTGGTTCCAAGCCACTCTCTGCTGAATCAATGAGATTTGCTCTCTCCATTTACCTAGAGAGCAAGACTTTACCTACCAGAAGGTGGAGTTGTGGGATTGTGGGAGGGACCAGAAAAGATTTTCTTTTACTGTATCAGAAAGCACAGTCAGTGCCGGGGCTTTCCATGGAAATTCCAGTCACGTTAATTCTATCTAAGACCTGCAGCTATTTCAGGACGCTTTAAAAGCAGCCATGGAGTGATGTCTTCCTGTTTTATTCATACACAACAAATGTATTCGCAGAGGCAGAAATTTACCCCAGTGCACAGGACCCACTTGCTAGCCTTTACTCCACTGAAGCCTGGGCTCAACAGGCAGTGAAAAAAAGCACGTGGGTGGTCTGCAATGGGGCATATCACCGTTTGCAGAAAGTTTCAAGGGAAAATTAACTACTTTCACTCAGCTGCAGTGATCTTCAGGAGAAAGGAGAGGCAGATCAGAGAGGAAAAAGAGGAAGAGAGTAAACCGGTTTGGTAAGTTAGGTAGCAGGAATGCAAGAGGTTCTCCTCTCCAATTGCAACTTTAACAAAAATCCTTGAATAGCACGACTGCTTTTCTCTCTCAGACTTCAGTTGTGTTCTGAAAACTCGGCACTCTTTGGACTCTGCTCACTGTGCATTTGTTCTTCCAACACAAAACCAAATTCCCACAGCAACTTTGCCTTTGTTTTAAATGAAAGTGAGACACATTTACAGGGAGTCTTGGTGAAAACACATGCCAATACAAAGGGAATTTTTCAAAACCGAAGAGCAGGTGCTAATCTCAATTATACTACATTTATTTCTGCAGTTATTTGGGATTTTAGGCAAAAAAATATTCTTAATTCTAACACTTTTAACAGTTATTGTTTGTACTGTAGTACTGTTTCAATGCCTAATAAAGGTGTGCTGTGGAGAGAACTACACACACAGTCTTAAAAAAACCCATAGAACATTTCCTGAACTGACATTTGGCTTAACAATAAAATGGTTTGTATTCTAAAGGTGAAACCAATAAAAAGAAGAAACAAGAGACTTACCAAAGAAAGGCGTTACAGAAAAGTAAATCAGGTGATAATAGTTATAGGCCTCAATCCTAACATCTTTCCAGATTCCTTGAGTGGGAAAAGAAGGGCCCCAATCCCAACTAAATGAACATTGCTCCTGGAAAACAGAATGATTATATTACAACTGCCTGTTTTTCACACAGACATTGATGCTGTGCCAGAAAAAAAAGACATTTGCTATCTGGGAATAAAATATTGACATGCACTGAAAGAATTTTTCCAGTTTCCATAAACCCAGAAGAGCCTGCAATATTTTTTTCTTAGTTCTTGACCAGAACTTTGCTGCTACTAGCTGTATTATGTAAAAAATTAAATTTTGTATTAAACACCCATGTACAGAGAAATTTTGTATTACTGAAAGAGAAAAATAACACTTAGTATACCACTTCAAAAAATGCCAAGAAAACCCCAAATAGGAAAGATCAAAAAAACAATCCAGGAGATTACTCTCAATTCAGCTGTGAATTATCTTAGTTTGTAATATCAGTATTTAATAGCACACCTAAAAGACAAACTAAGCAGAAAACTGACAATTAGAAATGTTACAGTAGTCTAGATGAACAGTATCAAATTAAAAATCATATATGAAACAGTTTATCTCCTATTTTTAGTTTTAACCCCACAGAGTAATACAAGGAAAGAAATGGATATGTCTGGTGTATTTTTGTAGTTCAGTCATGTTCACTGTTTCTCCCCTTTTTATGGTTCTCTTATATAAAAACAAAGGGAACAAAAACATGGTTGAGAAGTAGCTTAGTCCTGGTACTAACATCAGAATAACTGTAAGAATTATAAAATGCTGGTCAGGCAGAGAAGTACGTACACTAATTTCCATTTAGCTGTTTTAAAACCTGGTCAGACCTCTACTTAACAAATCCCTTGACAACATCTATTCAACTGCCCTCCAAGTTTCACACAGCCCCAGCCCCCAAAGCAAATACAATAGATCTCCCAAAGTCTTGTACAGTGACACAGAGTTCTAAATTTAGAGACTAATAACTTACAGCCAAGGCATACTAATTTGGGCAAACCACAATGCACAAGCCTGGCCTATCCCTTGCATTGCCAGCCAGCCTCCCCGTCTATCTGTCTTGGTTTAATTTTGATTTCCCGGCCAACGCACCAAATTAATGTCTTCGTTTTGAGTTGCCAATTTAAATAAACTGATTTTTCCTGTTGTGAGGCAGAACCAGGAGCACAAGAGCAAGGCAGGCCTAAAACTTGAGAGAGTATAAAAGAAAATTTATTAACTACACAAACAAAAAGAAAGGAAAAAAAAAAATTCAGATTAAGATTTTTCAGATCACTCCTTCCCTCCCTCTCCCAATCTTCATAACAACAAAACAAACATATAACAAATACTTCAGTTAGTCTCCAATTTAGTCTTTTTCAGTTCACTTCTGGAGAAAGAAGCCTCTTCTTGTTGAAGTTGTAGGAATTTTTCCCACAAGAAGGAAAAAGACAGTTCTTTTGTGGTTTTATCTTTCACGATTTGCATCCGCCCTAGAACCTGCAACCGTGACGCTCCTCCCAACTCTACAGCCGTCCCAAAGTTGTAAAGGTGAGCCATGTCTGACTTATAGGGTATTACTTTTAAGAATGAAATGTTCCACAGCAAAGATTCTCTCTGTCTTCTTTCTCTCTGCTCAGGCTTTATCTTCAGAAAACCGAAATCCCTTTCTTTTCTCAGGGCAGAAATTCTTAACACAGGTGCTCTTTAGTCAAATTATCTATTAAATGGAACATTTCCATCCCCCCATGTTTCTTTCCATAGTTTATAGGAATATTCAGTACATCAGTTCATCCCTACAATTTTACAAAAAGATTTTCAGCCATTTCAGCATCTTCTCATTCTCTTTCCATGTTAAAAACTTATCTCTTACGTCACTGATTTCAGATATCTTCTTATTCCCTTTCATATTCAAAGGAAAGGCTGGAGGCTTTGCAAATCTTATCTGAACACTAAAGAGTTAAAGTTTAACACAACTACAAAAGTTGGGCCAGACTCAGGCCGCGCTGGAGGTGGCAGCTGAAGTGTTAATCAGCCTTTCTGGGGTTGGGCTGCAGCTCCACACTGCTCATGGCTACCCGGGCAGGCCCGGCCCCTCCGGCAGCAGCAAGAATCGGCCTCCCCCCACGCCAGAGCCACAAGCTCGTGAAGGATGAAACTGTGAAAGTCTTATCACAGAACTTTTTCTCCCCCTGGCCATCGGGTCCCCCTCGTTGGCAAACGGGGCCCAAGCGGCCTCCCGAGCCTCCCCCCCCCCCCCCATGGGGGAGGAAGCTCAGGTTGGTGTTACCTGCTCAGCCGCCGGAAGACAAAGAGGGCCAGTTCCGGACCACCCCCCTCAAAATGTGTGTTCACGAAGCGAACCAACCCCCTCTAATTGGCTGTTGCAGGTATCCCAACCCCCAGAGAGGAAACTCCCTTAGGAAGAATCTCCCCTGAGTCTCCTCTTCCTAAGTCAACCCACCACACCGTAGAATCCAAGAATGAGCTGGTCTCAGTTCCTATTTGTTAGCTTATATATTTTTGTTCAGGAGGTGCAGAGCACTTTCTGCTGATAACGAGTGCAC